CCAGTTCCAGCCCCCTGCCACAAACAGGGACATCTCCCACTAAACCAGGTTGCTCCAATCCGTGTCCAGCCTGGCCTTGAACACTGCCAGGGATGGGGCAGCCACAACTTCTCTGGGCAACCTGTGTCAGGGCTTTACCACTCTCATAGTGAAGAACTTCTTCCTAATATCCAATTTGAATCTCCCCTCTTCCAGTTTAAAGCCATTTCCCCTTGTCCTGTCACTACATGTCCTTGTAGAAAGTCCCTTTCCAAATTTCTTGTAGGCCCCTTTTAGGTACTGGAAGCTGCTCTAAGTTCTCCACTGAGCCTTCTCTTCTCCAGGCTGAGCAAACCCAACTCTCTCAGCCTGTCTCCATAGCAGAGGTGTTCCAGTCCTCTGAACATCTTCATGGACTTCTCTAGACTTGCTTGAGCAGGTCCATGTCCTTGTTATGTTGGGATCCCTAGGGCTGAACACAGGACTGCTGCTGGGATCTTGAGAGGAACTGATTTATGTCAGAAATGCTGATGTGTTCTGGTTAAAATGTACTGAGGGAATCCTGTCAATGCTTTGGATGGAATTGATAAACCCAGTTTGGTGCTCGCCTGCCCGCTGTGCGGGAGCTGTTGGCTCCTGGCAGGCACCCAGGGACTCAGCAGGATGGGGGACTGTGCTGTGCTGGGGTTCCTGCTCCCCGTGCTGCCATGCTGCAGGTCCCTCCCTCCAGCTGGGGTGAGTAGGAGGCTGTCCTGAAAATCCTGCTTCAGGGAGCCTGTCTGCTAGCAGGGAAAAAAAAGAACTTGTTCTTTGTTTTGTTTTCTTTCTTGAGTCACTTTCCAAATGAGTTTGCCAGAGCAGGATTTTTCGTTAGCTTTGCCATGATTTGGGTGTGAGAAGAGGATGAGTTGGGGGAAAAAAGAGGTTTTTAGAGAGAATGCTTTGCAGGGTGGGATTTCTGCTTTGTAGCAGGTGCTGATAGGGTCTGAAGGAGGGTGCTGGAGGGGCTGCATGCACAGATGGTGATAGACCGTACTGTACCAGTCTGAGAAAATGATTAATCAGTACTACAGGGATTTATTCTAGTATTTAGTTCTTTTAATTTAGCTTTATGTTTCTCTGCTCAGGAGTTCTGTAAGAGAACGTTCTAAATGTGATGCTGATTCAGGGTCCTGGTGATTTTTGAAAGTAATCAAAAGTTCCCTAACTGTTTTTTGGGGGTTGTTTTTTTTTTTTTTTTGGGGGGGGGAGGTGTGTCTTGTTTCAAATGGCAATGAAGAGAACAAATGTTCCATGTTTCTCTTGCAAGTTGTATAAATATAGCTCAGACTTTAATTAAGGGGACTTGGAGAAGTAATACTGAGAAATGGCAAATTATAAATGAGCAAGATGCTTAATGCATGTTTTTCATAGCCCTATTGCACTTGCATTGCTGTAGGCAACCTTCACTGATACTTTCCAAGTTTTGAGAGCTGATTTTATTAATCTCGTAAATGGAAGCCCGTAAGTTCACAAATCTTTTTTCGTTTTCAGCAAAATTAAAAGAAAAATGTCAGCTGAAGAGGCATTATTTAAACCAGTGTAATTCATTAGTAAAACTGGAACTTCTAGGCTCCTGATGCAGATCTTTGCTTTGTGAGGTACTGGAGGGTGTTGTCGCTCTTTGTTGAGGAGCAGTGCTGGAGGAAGAAAATACCTTCCAGTGAGCACAAGGCTCCTTCTCTTTTTCTCTTCATCTCTTGTTTAATGTTAGTCATTGTTCACTGCTTGGCTTTTCCTCCTTGTCCTGTTCTGTTCCCTCACCCGGGTCTAGATTTTAATACCCTGGTTTCTTTTAGTCCTTACTGTCTTGAAGTTTTCTCTCCCCTCTGTGCTCAGTTCTAGCACTTGTCATAGGCACGCCCTTCCCTATGGGGCTTCTTATCCAAAAAGAGCAATTTTTTCTCCTAATCACAGCATGAAAACTTCATATTCAGAATGTGATTGCCTCCCCAGCTCCCCCTACATGATAGGGAGTCATTGTATTGTTGTTTCCTGCCCTCTGCCTCATTTTGCTCTTCAGTCTGTATTCCCTCTGTCCTGCTTGCTTGTTTCCCACCAACTTGCTGATGGTGATGCCCTCTTCCAATACACACATGCATCCCCGGTCAGTACTTAAGTTTGTCCTGCTTCTTTCCTCCTGTTTCTCCATCATGCTCAGATGTTTTCCTGGCTCTCACATTCGCCTGCCCCTCCACTGTCTGTTATCCTCCCAGTATCTGAATTTCTTTTTTGTGGATATCAGTGGTGAAAACTTGAGGTTGCTGGAAAGGTAGACCTGAAATGTCTGTGAGGGCTCCTGCCTCAATCCAGCAGGAGCTGAACTTGAAGGAAAAATAGCCTTGAGCCAAAGAACACTTGTTTGCTCCACTGAAATCTCTCATTGGACCTGATGTGTGTGGGAGGTTGGAGCACACCTCTCAAATCCTCAGAGATTTTACTAAAATTCTTAATTTTTTTCTCCATTTGTAAATATGTATGTTGGAGGCAGGGAGAACTTGTCACATGACACAGAGGGGACGCCAGGTTCTCTTGGGGATCCTTGGCAGAACGATGATGGCACTAAGTTGTAGTTACAATTAAAGCTTTATTTTCTTAACAGGATATTGTGATTAGTATAGCACAGAACTTCTGCCAATCAGAATCGATGTTATACAATTTATAAGCGGAGTAATACAGAATTTATATTATAATTTCTAATCAGCTGGACCATCTGCAGATCAAGCCAAACCTTTACTACATGATTTGCTCTATCAATATAACAGTCATAATCTGGACTCATATAATGAGGCATTCCCTTAATCCCCAGAGGAAGCAGAGGAAGATGGAGGCATCCCTGGCACTGCCTGGCCCTGAGTCTCACTGTCCAGGAGCAGGTTCGGTCCAAATTCCTGTCTTACGACTGATACCTGCTCAGTTTTATAGACAGTGCTCTTGGTGCTGTTAAGCTTCCCTGTTCCCTGGCAGGGCCACCACTACCACCTGGTGGCCCTGGGTTCCTGGAACTTTCAAGGCCAGCAAGGGATGGAATAGTCAGCCTGGCATCCAGGAACCTTGAGGCTAAAGGAGAGAAAGAAGAAATCTGTTTGGTATGTCTGTTTGGTTCACAAGACTTTTAGGGTCTGATGATGAGGGGAAGGAGAATAAATACATGACCCACTTGGTCACAGAGAGTGGCTGCTTGCCTCATAAAGTGATGCTGGTTATGCTAACCGCATTGCTAGGGGTTGGGAGCAGCAGGTACCAGTCACAGAAAGACCCTATGAACAGTTGTTTTCAGTGTGAACCAACCTAGTTTGGTAGAGACTTAACAGAGTACTGAGTTTTACACTGGAAAGTTGTTGATGACACTGAAAACAATAGATTCACCCAGCCTCCCTCTTAATACTAGTGACAGATATTAGTAGCAATTAAGGATGTCTTATGCTGGAGGAATGACCTACAAGTGAGTGAAAGCCACAGCGTTAACTTCTAGGATGGGAAGAAGTTACTTATATCAATGAAAAAATGCACTAAGAAGTAATGGGATGAGTAAAACAAAGTCACTTAAGGCTCAATATCTAGACTGTAGAGCAGTATGCTATAGGAAGTTTAGAATTAGTAGAAATTCTCTTTTTTAGATGTTTATGTGTTGACCAGATGAAATGCACAAATATCCTGTAAGAAGTGTTTTCATATTAATAGGAGCAATATTGTGAAGCAAGATAATCCTTTAATTTGTCTCTTCTCAGAAGAGCATACATTGGAGTTCTAGAAATGCAATATATAGCGTAACCTCAAGTGGTGTTCACAAAGCTGCTTGAAATAGACTGCTACTTCTCACTGTCACCCTTAAGTAGGACATAGGGCCCCTAAATACCCATGGAAAATGAAGTGCAAGGAGCAAAAACTAGGCTCCAATCCAAAGCCAGTTGAAGCTGATTAAGAGACTGCTTTTGGCTACCAAGGGCTCTAGTTTAGGCCACTAGCAAGCTAGAATTAAGTCTCAGATGTTCAGACAGACTTTTTTGGTTAGTTAAGTCTGTGGGTTTTTCTTTTGATTCATGTTTGAGTGCTGTCCATGATTACAGCAGATGTCCCAGTGTGTATATCACCTAAAGCATTACGTATTTTCACTCTTGGGTTCTAGAAATAGTAAGTGGGTAATACTCAACACCTTAACTACACTTAATCACCAGATTATGTATTGTTCTGGTTTTATGGCTTGACACTATACAGTGTTAAGTCACAGGTATACCTAGAGATGATACATTTATTCTTATAAGATATGCCTACAGGTAGAATAGAGGCAAGGAAAATACTTTTCAAAGTCTGCAGTTCTTTGGCTACTTTTAGTGTGCTTCTCCATTCTTCCCATGCTGCTAGATGTTTAAACTTTTCAAACAATGAAACAGAAGAAAGGAATATGTTTTCCCAGCAGGAAGTGTCTGTGGAGTTGCAAATATAAGTTAAAGTGAGAGGTGATGGTCTGCCTGACTCAGATGATGGTTTTACTTGTTTGCATGCTTATTTTCTCTTTTAGAAATAGAAAATAAAATGTTTACATTTTATCCTAATGTTTTTTTGAGTGCAGTCCAAGTTAGTTCTTTCATTTTAATTCCTTGGCATGTTTCCTCACTTAATTTTACAGCTTGGACTGAACTTTTTACAGAAGTATGTAGTTATTAGCTATCTGCATGCTGTGTCTCCACCTTCTTCAAGTTGAGAAGAGTTGGAAAGTCACTTTTGGAGTTGGATCAAGATTTCATGCTAGATGTTAGTAGAAATGTAGAGCTTGTTTTCTTTCTAGTTGAGCTAAATTGCTTAAAATTCGCCAATAAAACTGTCTAGAGTAGAAAAAGATTTTGAAAAACTCTTACCTAGCCTTCTGTAAAGAATCACAAAAAGTGGGGTTTAGCATTTGGAGGTCAAAATGTTTGTGTCTGTATGGGGGAATAAATTGGAACTTGTTTTAATTAATTTCTTTTCTCTTTGACCTCTAGGTTCCAGCAAGATGTGGAGTGACAGTCCGAGACAGCCTAAAGAAAGCTCTGATGATGAGAGGTCTTATTCCAGAGTGCTGTGCTGTTTACAGAATACAAGATGGGTATGGTTTGTGTGTGATGGTTTTTGCTCATAGAATCTCTTTTGGAGTTACCCAGTATGTCTGATTTTTATCCAACACCATAGAAGTTGTTTTCAGGGTTCAGAATAATAGGCTACTTTGCACTAAAACAACTTGTGCCTTGAAGATATGTCTAAAAAGAATGGCAGACTCCTAGAAAAAGATTTAATGATTTCACAAATGGGCATTTTATAGAATAATATGAGCTTATAGACTGCTGGCTGATTCATTAATCAAACTCATTCTAACCAAACAAGCATTAAATGTTTTTTCTTAACTTTTTAAATTTGTTTGACTTGGTTATAGTGCATTCTTAGCTAAAGATAGAGTTCCTGTGAGGAAAAAAATTTAGTTTCCAGCCCTAAAAAGCTTGTAGATTATCTTAATGCTCAAAGCTAGCCATCTCTTTGAAACTCTTGCAGAACAGGTATTTTCACAAGCACTTTATTTGATAAGAATGTTACCTGTCACCTCGGAATCAAGGCATCAGCCACTACTGGAGCTGATTGGAAAAAGTGCATTTCTTTCATGCAGTTTGTCCAGGGAAGGTGTGCTTTCTTCAGTGTATGCTGAGCTTAATGTCCTGCTCTTAAAGTTTCCTGCCATTAGAGACAACTTTCTACCCTTTTACCAAATTCATATAATGAGCCATTGCAGGCCTCCTGCACTGGTGCTAACAAAAAAGGCATTATTATTATTAATATTAATATTATTATGATTATTATACATAAAAGGCTTATTTACATTTTAGAGAGAAGAAGCCAATTGGCTGGGACACTGACATTTCCTGGCTCACAGGGGAGGAGTTGCATGTGGAAGTTTTGGAGAATGTGCCACTCACAACACACAATTTTGTATGTACTGGTTTTTTAGATGTTGAGTAGGGTTAAATCAACTTTGTACTTTCAAATTCGAATTAACAGCTTTGAATAATATTTCATGTCTGTGGAATATGGTAGGAGTTGCAAAAGAAGTTTTGAATCACGGTAGCTTAAGTGAATGAGATAAAATTGTAACTGAAGTAAGTGATGTTAGAGTACTTCATCACCCTTAAAACTTTCACATTTGGATGGAATACACCCTTTAAAATCTATAAATGTAGGGGGTTTAAATCAGCACTGCATTGCAGAGCTGTAATAATAATCTACTATTTTTGTATTGCTGTATCTATAAAATGTATTCTGGGCCTCCCTGCTGGCTCTGCAGCAGCAATTAACTAATGAACTAACTATTCCCAGAGCAGTGCTGACATCATCAGTGATGCTAGTGCACAAATATGTTTTGACCTGATAAGGCACCAAGTAAATGGAAGCTGCTAAACAGAATCCATCTGAACTGTTACAGCGACATACAAAATCCTGGAAATAATGTTTGTCACGTTGACAAGAAAGACCTTTTATTCAAGTTAAAACCTGAGATTGTGTTTGCAAGCTGCTTAAACTGTTTTACTCAAAGCTAGTTTGGCTATAGCTAGTTAGATGAACGTGTAGTATGCTTAACATTTTTTTTATATCCTTCTGAAATTTTCTTTACTACATGTAGTAGTACAACTAGAATGTGGCTTTATACCAAGTATTGCTAAATTTGAAAGTTAAATTAAATCAATTCCCCCCCTATAATATGGAGATAATGTATGTTCACCCTTTTGTGATTTTAAATGTTTTAAGTTTCAGTAATCAAAATTACAACTATATATGTAACCATATATATAAGTCATGTATATTTCCAGTCCTGTGAGTATTGGATAGAAATGTCATTTGGCTCCTGGAAAAATTAGAAGATGAGATAATATTTCAGCAGCTCTTGTTTTTATAGGTTGTATCCAGTTAAATTCTGAATGTTAGTCTCTAGCATGGTAACAGTGCAGTGTTCTGTTTCAGATTTGTTGCTGATTTTCTCACTGATAATAAAGTGAAGCATTAGGTCTAATAAATAGTTGAAAGAAAAATTGAATGCATGAAGACTATTTGAAAAAGAGGCAAACCTTTTATGAAATCTGATACATTAGACTGTAGCTCCAGGGTGAAGAGGCTTGTAAGTGTATTAGAGGGAGGTAAGAGAGAATAGCGTATGCTAGGCTTAAAAAGGACTCTAATTATGATTATTTTTGACAATACAGGTACGAAAAACATTCTTCACGTTAGCATTCTGCGACTTTTGTCGAAAGCTGCTTTTCCAGGGATTCCGATGCCAGACATGTGGCTACAAATTTCACCAGCGCTGTAGTACAGAAGTGCCACTGATGTGTGTTAATTATGACCAACTTGAGTAAGTAATCACAATTGATTTTAAAAGTTGAGTCTTTTATTAAGCTTGCAGCTGTCAGTGTTTTAGATCTGTCATTCAGGAAGTCAGAGGAGGTGCCTCAAAAAAATACAGGAGTTGAACTGTTCTTGTGAGGCTGCATAATTCATGTTCTTTCTTTGCAAACTCAGGCAACCAGTTCATATTTTTTTGCTGGACTATGAAATGCTTTCTTTGAAGCATGAATGGATTGGCTGAGCGTTTGACTATATCAGACAGACTTCTCATTGTTCGCAGTTGTTGTTAATGAAAACTGGTTCTTTATTATGTGATGGCTGGAGCCCTGTTTAAATGTTTAGATGTGGGTTTAGATGCAGGTTTACTCCCTTCACAGGAAAAAAATGTGAAGAAACACTAGTTTAATATGGTAAATTACAGTTAGTTTTACAGTGATTTAAAATAATCCATTAGTGAGTTTGATGCCTAGGTGGGAAACATAGAAAGTCCCAAACAATCAGGTGTTCTTGAATTTAATTATTGATAATTTGATGTAGGTTAAGGATCTGGTGTAAACTGGCTTGGTGCTCTATTTGATTGGTTTCAGCAGAGACTATCAAGTCTTTTAACTAGACTTTCATATAAGGAATCATTTCAAATCCTAGGTTTTCCCCCAAAAGTAAATTTAAAGTCTGCCTACACAGGTATTTATACCTGTTTTCTTGGCATCTCTAGAATTTGTGCTCAGAGCTTGTGGATAAGGTAGTTCTATCCATTTGACCTCTGTTTTTTGGCATTGCAACAGTGCAAACGTAAGTTCATGTACTCCAAAAACAGTTACAAGTTGTGCATCCTTGAGGAACCAGATGTTTGCAATTTTGACTAAAAGATTAAAAAATTACTTTCCACGAAGGTATGTTTAAGGCAAGATCATTTGATCCTTTGTCAAATAATATTTTTATTGGCAAATCTTGTAGATCCATGTGTTAGCATAGTCTGCATTTCAAAATACAGAATTTGATCAGTGATGGGGTTTGTTTTAATCTTTGAGTGTATTGTGAAACTTCTGGGTTTTGCACAAGGTTAGGTTGTTTTTGTTTTGTTCTTGCCTCACAGTTTGCTGTTTGTCTCCAAGTTCTTTGAACATCACCCCATACCACAGGAGGAGGCCTCCTTAGGAGAGACCACCCCAGCATCTGGATCATACCCTTCAGCACCCCCCTCAGATTCTGTTGGGTATGACCTTATTCCTGCTGTTTAATGGTGTAACATTTCAGTACTGTATGCTTAGAAACACTCAAAATACTTCTTTGCAACTCTCTATTTTTGTAATCTGGCTTGTCATGTATACCCTGTGCTTACCTTCAGAAAAGTGAATAATTTCATTTATAAGAATGATACGAATTAGTAATGAACCAAAGTTAAACATGTGCGTAAGTGTCTGTAAAATTGGGGTCTTACCTGTTACACTGATTTCCTGGTCTAAACTGGAAAGATTTTTATACCTAAAATTAATACTAACTGAACCTGTATCCTCACAAACTTTCAGTTTGTGTTATCAAACTGCAGTTTATATGCCTTCAAGTGACATACCTCTGTTTCAGAATAAGCCACTCCATTATAAGATCGGTGTAAATAGATGCCAATTCCAGGTTCATGATACTGCTTTAGTTGCTTTTGTATGTGCACACTGCTTTACTGGTCCTTCAGACCAGCTTTCTTCCTCTTATTTAGATGTTGGGATATACCAATAGCATCTGCAGATCCAGGTTTTGTAAAACAAGTTTTCTAAATCTAACCACAGCCCCCATCCTCTGTATTGCCAACAAAGATTCTGGACCCTCTCTGTGAAAAGATAAGTGATCATATTCAGATTATGTTCCCAGTAGTTAAGAGATCACTGTAACCACCCAGCACTACTAGATAGTTGAACAAATCTTCAGCAACTGGTAACTCAAGGATGTGCATCAAAGTCAAAAAAACTGACGCAGATTTATTAAGAACACCAAATACAAAAGCCTTCAGAGGAATGTTTCTGTGACATGTGTGCTGCATGGAGATGAACTGAACTTGGCAGAGGCTCTCTTGGAGTAGTGAGCATTGTGCCCAGACTAAAGCAGAAACACAGCTGGAAGCTACACAGGCACCTATGGACTCTAACTGGAAGAGAAATTCCCTGGACAGCCAAGGCTATTTTGTGAAAGATAAATACAGTACCTCCCAGGAAAACAGATTGACAGTCCTGCAGAGGGAACCTCATTTGGTAAGTACAAAGAAAGATGCTTTTCTTATTTGTACTATTTTGTGCAGGTGCAAGTAAATTTTAAAGTGCCTTTTCCAGGTAGTGGATGTTGCCTCTATATCCCGTGGATTTTGCTACAGCAGTTTGTGGACAAGGCGGCTGCTGTTCTCTAAGCTAAGCAGGCTCTGCCTTTCTCATGGTAAAGCTGAAACTGCAACCACGCTACAACTATTCTGTGAAGAAGCTTGTTCGTACCAGCTGTGTTAAACACGTGTGGATGCCAAAGGCACTATATAGCCCTGTCCTGATGCTGGGATATGCTAAATTTTCCAACTTTTTAGTTGCTCCTGTGTCACATTTATGTTTTCTTAACAGTTTATGAGGATGCAACAGGATAGATAATCTTAATTGATACATGCACTATGAGAAGGCTTTTCACTCTTTTGTGAAGTAAAAAGGGAAAGGAGAAACTGAGACCAAAGCCTGGTTTATGCCTTAAGGTTTTTAACTTCATGTATATAAAAATATTTGAACATACTTACCAGTTGAAGTTAAGGAGTTTTTCTTAAGTGTAGATGTTTGTGGTAGCAGGAGCTGTAAAAGGTTTTCAGCTTTCTCATTTTTGCTTTTTTTGCCTTGCTGTGCACTTCATTGTTAAACAGTAACAACAGAAAGGCATACATTGTGTCTTCAAAATTTGGTTTATTTTGAAAATGGTTTATGATTATCAGCTGGTGTTCATAAGTAGTATGCATGTTAGTCATGCAGTTTTCCCCAGGCATCTGTGTTTGTAGCATTTCTTTCCCAGAAGCAGCTATTGTATGAGCATATAGCACTGTCTGTACCTTTCTACAGTTATCATTTTGCCTTTCTTTAATAATACTTCTATGCTTTTTAAATACGTAATTGTGGAAATACTAATTTCCCCGATTTTTTTTAGAGTTTAAAAATATGCTGGCCTTTTCTAGAAAAATATACTTGAGCGTGGTTTTGTTAAAGGGTATTGCTACAATATGGAACAAGAGCCCAATATGGAGTAAAGTCTGATGTTTGAGCTTATTTTGTAATTTAAGAGATTATCTTGTAATTTAAGAGAGTGTAAAGGATTGAAATTTGGCAGCTGGGCAATGGGATTGAAAATATGAGTAACCTAGTGCTTTATTAACACTTACTAATTTAATAATTATTCCTTTGATTTCTCTGTTCTCCTAGCACCTTGCATGGCACAGCCCGCAGAGGAAGGGATGTTACTAATCGTTTGGTAAACCTGAGGAAAGAGAAGGCAAACATCCTTCTTCATCTTTAGCCTTGTGAAGGGATTCCAGCGGCAGGCAAAGTGCACAAAGAAAGGAAGAGTTTGTGTTGCAAGACAAGCTCAAGAGCAAAGGCCTGTGAGATATGCTGAGAAATTGTGAAGGGATCAAATGGAGAAGTTGGAAAGAGAAAGGGACATAAAGGAAAAGACCACTGGACATGATGCAAAAGCTGCTAAGCATGGAGAACTTTGTTTCACTTTGCTCATGTGTAGCATCATAAAGCAATCCAGTCCTGTAGCCTTTAATTCTTCTGTCAGCTGTAGGCAGTCCCTGCAGATGTTACACTCCAAGAGAAGGGAGTACATATGGTCCCCCTTGCACAGTTCTGAACTCCTTAGAAAAATGTTTCCAGCCTCCACATTAGGTCTTTTGTCCCATTTTAGTTTTTCCAGTTTGCACTATCCTGTTGTGCCAAAGCAGTCAAATACAATCTGCCCTTAACTGAAAAGAACTACTGAAAGTGTAGGTCTCCCTAACAGCCATTTGTAATAAAATTGAAGTGCGCAAACTGCATATAATACATTGTATTCATTTCATTCATTGCACTGTCATGAAGTTTCTTCTACATTTTTGCTCGTAAAATATGAGCACAGAATTTCTGTGAACCCAGTTCCGTGGATCTTACAGATACATGAAAAGGTAAAAGATTAGCTATCCAAAACTTTCTAGAGCTGTCGTTTTCAACTAATGTCTATTCGCTCAGGTGTTCTGATATTGGGCAAAACTCAGCAAACTCATGAGGCAGATATTATGGCAGGGTATGTAACTTGTGGAGTGGGTGGTAAGGGGGTGCATTGTCAGACTTTGGGTAGCACAGAGGCAGGTTGAACTTAATAGGAGCTGAAAGCATCTGCTTTGCTTGAGGCCAAGCACTGCTGGTAAGCAGGTTGGCGACATCTTGGCTCTTTGAAAAACAACATTTCTCAACATGCTTAATCTTCTAAATGTGAGGAAAAAAGGGGGACTGTCTGGTGCACCATTCTTGGAAGCTTGCCAGTCCCTGCCTTGGAGCAGGCTTCAGCCTGTGATTAAACACCTCTGCTTTCCTTTCTGTCTTCCAAATGTTCGCTGATCGTTCTGCATGGGCTGAAGACATTTAAATGTCTTGAAAAGCTTCTGAAAAGCCAAGGAAACAAAGACACAGTCTTAAAATATTATACTGAGTACTACATTGCCATTTAGATCCACATGTGTTAAGGTGAACAAAAGCTTTGTGGTTTCATGCATAAAACAATGATGAGCTTTTCACCTAAAAATTTTGTTACCCAATTTGATATGCATTCCTAATGAGCAGAAGAGGCCTGGTATTAGAATCTTGTAGAAAAATCATCTTTCATCAGGTGGGCAATACCTCATGTTCCCCATAATCTTATTTATAAAAACACACTAGTGAACCGAAACCTGATTTGGAGAGCTAACGACAGCTCCGGAGGTTCTTTTCCTAGCCCCTTAGCATTGCTAAGCTTTGGTCTGGGCCCAAAGGCCAGTATAAATGCCCACCACTGTGATAATCTTGGCCGTTGTTTTTCACCTACAGGCCAACATGGATGAAAACAAGTTATCATGGTATAAAAAAAGTACTATTCCATATGAAGTTATGACTGTTTCAGATCCGTGCCATGATGCTTGTAGACAGATTTCACAGGATGTTTCACGGGATCTTCTCTAGCCTGTAGTTACAAACTTGTACTGCTATGATTTTCTCCAAATCAACAGTTGATTTAGGGTCAATGAATGTAGAGGTGGGGAAAGATAAAAAATTACTTCATTTTCTGGCAATATCCATGGAGTACCACAGTAATTAAATTAGAAAGTGTTTGGCCTCCAAAATTTGCAGTTTACTGGCTTGCTAGTGTAGCTGAAATACTAAGATACCTTAGGAGTCCTTAGAAACTGCTTGACAATGGAGGTGTGCTGTGTTGTGCATCAACAGCAGCAACAAAAAAGAAAGCAAACAATACTCTGGTGTAAACCAAAAAAAAACCAAAGCCACTTGGTATGCATTTTGGCTTGCAGTAGGTTTGACTTGGGTAAGAGTAATCAGTCTACGAGGTGAATAGTATGTACTGCACTGAGCCCTGTGTCTGAACTGAGATGTACTTGTTCAGATCAGGAGGGCCTGGACAGACAGTAGTAGAGATGCTGTCATTTTAACAGAGAAGTGGCACACACCTTGTAACTGAAACTGGGGGAATGTGCATGTTCAGTGTATTTGCCTAACTACAGCAAAATAAAAATTCAAGCAAATGTCCTGAAGCCAAAACAAACCTATTTTAAGAAAAATCTTTCCTGAGTAGACCAGCTCTGAAGTATACAAAACATCACATCACACTGGTCAGTTAAAGGAAACTGAGGGAAGTCTATATTAAAATCTTCTTCCGTATTTGTAAAGTGAACTAACTTTTATCATTGCAAATTCTGAGATCCGGTGGAGTTACTGTATATGATTATATAAAATTGTTTATATATAATGTAGCATGTTTGGACACTTTCCTGAATTACCTTCCTTTTCCCGTGGACCCAGTTTCATGGAATAGTAAATCTGTGGGCACCTTGGCAATTGCTGTGATTGACAAAGACAATTGCCAAAATTGACAGACTCTGTGTCTGTCTGCAATGACTCTTGTCTCCTGACAAAACCTTTCTGTTTTGATAAAAAGGGAGGGAACAATGTGCTTATCCCAAGTCCGTGGTCCAAAGCATGTTCTGTCATACTGCCAGGAAAGGTTATAACACGTTAAATTGAAATTTGATAGCTCTTATCAGCTTGTTGTGTTGGAAGCTGAGAATTGTTTGTTAAAGGAATTCCCACATCTAAGAGGCTGAAAGTAAGTGTGCAGGATGAGGTGGAATAACCTCTGTAATATGTCTGTGTATTGACCTTTATACAAGGTCTCCTCCAGCTAGCATTTGGCTGTTAACTGCTCACAAGGGCCACAGGAGCACCAGAAACTTGGATCCTGGTATTTAAACTGCTGCTGCTTTAAGCCCCAGCCTGTTACAACTGTAAGCAGTTCTTTGCAGGAGTTATGTTCTAGTCCTCTTGATTTTTTTAGTTTTTCTTTCTGGCAGAGGCTGGTGGTAATTGCTCCTCAGCTTATGATCTCAGTAGGTCATCTTGGCCAGCAAACTGATTTTGTGTTTCCCTTCACTAGTTACCTTTTTCAAGCAAAATTCCCACTTAGCAAAAATAGATTACCTTTTTTAAGTGCCCCAAGGACACCCATTAATGAAACTCTGATTGTATATAGCTGGAGCACACGGCTAACTGTTTATGAGGTTCCCATCTTTGGATTCTTTGGTGTCTAAAGCCCAGAGATACTCCAGAAGGGGTATTTGTCAGCCTGTAATCGTTTCTGAAAGATCTGCACTTCCTGCAGTTAGAATTTAATGAGTAGAAAAAGATATCCAAATTGGTTTTAGACATGGTATGACATAGCATGCTGTCTGCTAGCAACGTGATGGGCATGGTGACCTGTAAGCAGAAATACAGAACTATTTGTAGATTCCCTTAGCAGATGACCATTTACGACTCAAAGGAGGATGTAATTGAAACAGTAGTTCTGCAATTTGGTTTTCTCTCCCTTGGCTTACTCATAATCACAGAAAATCTGATTGCTTCTATTCTCATAGTGTAGCAGAGCTCAAATGCTGTATTGCAGTCACTCCTAGTGCAATGGTCTGATGTCTGTGGTTACATATTGCCCTTAATTTCTTTCTTACTGAGAATTCTCAGGAAGTTTGGGCAGGAGTTAGCTATCACAATGAGTACTGGCCTGGCTAAGACATTTTTAGGCTTTAAATCTTTCTGTGCAGCACCTGACATGCCTGCCTTTGCATGTAAATGCAGTGCATTAGAACATAACCAAGTGCTGCACTTGTATCTGTGCAGTGTCCCATCTCCTTACATGGGTTCTAGTTGCATGTTTTCCCACAAAAATGTCCAGGAGTTCAAAACTTCCTCATCTACAATAGAAAATTACCCGAAGATGCCTGTTATCAGTGGATGAAAGCTTATGTATATGTACATCAGCTGCATTTAAAAACATCTCTGAAATTCTGAGCATCTTCTGAAATGCTGGACTGTTCAAGGCCTTTTCTCAGAGATGTGTCTGTTGGCAGTTTTAGTTCATTGCTTCCCCGTATCTTCCCAATATTTACATTGTCATGTAACAATAGGTAATATTTTTTTTTCTTAAGTTTAGCAGGGATAACCCCCCTTCTGTGCCCCACTTCCCAAACATAATTCAAGTATTTTATCATGAGAGTTACTGTATTGTTACTTGAATTTGCAAGTGCTCTGTTTTGCTGTTCTCAATTGTGAGACTGTTGGCCAGGAAGGAAAAGATGACAGGCACTTAGGATACAGATAGCACCGAGTTCTGGGACCAGTGCCAAATTGTAAACTCCTCAATGGAAGGTAGGGTAATAGTCTTTAAGGCAGACCTGTTTCTGAGAAAATATAAAGAGAGCCTGTTGAAAATGTTAGGTGCCCTCTTCAGAGGGGCCAAGAAGCATTCATTTACAGGAGGCAGCACCAGGACCTGTTGCTACTGTCTGCTGCTCTGTGGCTTATTTCTGAAGCTTCTCCCTGTGGGCATAGCCTTTGTGTGCATGGTAACTAACCCATGAGTAATTAAGTACCTGGAGGATGCTGCTCCTCTCTCGGGAGTTGTGTTTTCTGTCAGTTCTAAAAACCTTGTCAAGTATCATGTATGTTTTAACATAAAATTTTCACTGCCAATGGTGGCAAATGTTTCTGATTGACGTTTTGCCTTAAATCTGTTAAATTAGACTTACTAGTGGCTGCCCTTGACTTGAGTAAGAGCTAAATGCTGATATATTGTACTTCGACAAAATAAGTGGATAACCAAAGAAATTATATTCATACAAATGAAAAAGCAAGAGTTAAGATGTTTGTCTTTTAAATACGTAATTCATTATACCATAAATTAAAGACTTTATGTACATTTATGACCAGCAGCATTTACGTTTCTTCAGAAAGCTTGTCTGTATAGTCTGAATGCTTATTTTTCAAGGCAAAACTATTCTGTTGCCTAACTGTAGCACTAAATGACATTTGAAGTTGAGGTTAAGGGGTGACTGTTTATTTTTAATATCAGTAATTTGTGTTACTTTGGCCATAATATTAATCAGTTATTTTCAGTAACCAGTATGTAATTCTCAGTCATTCTTCATTGAACAGTAATCTCATCCATGCAATTTGTGACATCTTCTGACAGTAATACTGATGTGAGATGTTAAGTGCTTTTAGTTCTCAGTAGGTTGCTATTAAAGAGTTAACTGCATTAAGTCTCAAGTGAGGAACTGCAGAGTATCTTGCTTTTTGCAGTGCATGTTGGGCTACATGTATTTTTCAGATCAGGATTTATTATTACTCATTTGGTATGGTATGGTAGAGGGTTTTCATTTTGTTTTAACATAGCTGCCTAATTAGGCAGTTTTTTTAGAGAGTTGTTGCAATTGATCATAAGGGAGTAAAGATCATTCATTATAAATTGTTTTATGTAGGTCTTTAGATCAGAGGTTTTTTTAATGTATGTATTATTATAGTTGAAAAGGACTTACCACACCCACTATGCAGTATTTGAAGCCATTTGTAGACCTAAATCCTCTTTTTCCTTGACTTTGTTTCTCAGACCACCAATTCTCCCTAGTCCTTCTCCTTCAAAATCCATTCCAATCCCACAGCCCCTCCGACCAGCAGATGAAGACCATCGGAATCAATTTGGGCAACGTGACCGATCCTCTTCAGCTCCCAATGTTCACATCAATACAATCGAGCCAGTCAATATTGATGTAAGTATTGATAATGGTTGAATAGGAACAGTAGATTTGATGTTTCCCTTATGACTGTCAGTGTGTGAAATTTACCATGTGTGCCTTAAGCTAATCCTTAGTGGTCTGTCAGAATCTGATAGATCCCATGTAAGATATTTTTGCGATTGAGAGCTGTAAGAACCCAAATAACTCATCCTCCAGGAGCAGAAACTGTCTTCTGACAGTCCTGTCCTTTCATTCAAGGAAACATTCTGCCACTACCCGCTGCTAATTTTTGTCATTAGTCCCAAGGCTCATACTGCTACCTATACCCTAGTGTTAAGAATATGAAAGCCAGTAACCGCTCTCGCAAACCATTCTGTATCTTAAGCATATTTCTTTATAGTCAGAATAAGGATTTTTATTATTTGTAATTCAGTAATATTTCTGGCATTGAAGAATATTGAATTATTGCAGCAGGCTGAGTTCAAATTTACAGAATGTTCCTTAGTATTTCAAAAGCCCAGTATATATTGTTCTGAGAGTTCTTTCAGAGTGTTCAGAAGCTGTTACAATTAATTTATTTTCCACATTTTTGAAATTTCTGGACAATGAATCATAAATTATACTAATGGTTGATACTAGGTGTAAGGCCAGCTAAGACCTTTCAAAATGTTGGTCACAACAACCTCTTTTTAATTTTGCCACTGTATATATAGCTTATATGGGCCTTAAGCCTACTCTCTAGAAATCAGTCATTTGTCAGGTGAGCAGTCTTGAAGTCTGCCTGGACACTGGGTCCCAAAATGTTTTGCATGTGAGCTGAGTGATAAGTGAAATGCTAGTTGAGTGTTAAGAATGTGGTCATGTAGACATTTGCATATGGTATATGTTAGCAGTGCATCTGAGAGGCAGGACCAGTGCTTTCAGCAGCAGTGCAGGTGTATAAGGGAATAAAATAATTGTGTAACAAAAAAAAGAAAAAGAAAAAAGCTTGCTGATGAAATTGAAATAAGGAGGGAAACTGCTAGTATTGTCTCCTTTTTCTTCTCTTTATAAAATCTGTAGTGTAGTTTGCTTGCTCTCAGTTCACTGGATTGCAAGTGAAGGAAACCTTTTGCAGTTAGTTATATCCAAGAACAGTGTGCGCCTGCCTATGCAAATGAGGTGATTTGTTATAAGAAAAAAATGAAGCAGAACAAATTTGACTGATGCACCTTGGTACAGGAAATTGGTGTCCCAGCTCCTGATATGACAGTTCAAATAGTTTGTGCCACAAACACTAACAAGAACGCTTGGTTCAATATTTCTTTATGTGTTTTGGCCAGCTGTTTAAATCAATAGCTTCTTGTCAGTGTCTATTTTGGGTGCTGTACATTTCACTTTACTACTGAGAGATGCTGTTTTAAAACAACTAATTTTGAAACCTATAGTAGTTGCTATAAATAGTTCTTTGGAGTTGCTGCTGTTAGTAAGCCATGGTGGGAAATAACTTATTTCATATGCAACATACAAGGTTGTAGATTCTCAATTTGATCAGTTTCAATTGATTCTGGAATGTAAATGAAAAAGTAATACCTAAATTAAACACATTTTTTATTATTATTTATAGGACTTGATTAGAGACCAGGGTTTACGAGGAGAGGGAGGTAAGTAGTGTTTAAACTAGCTGCTGTGCTATATTTAATTACACAACCGCTCCATCCCTTCCTTTTGTTCTACTTCCTTCAACAAAACACAGGCACAAGGGAAAATATGATTAGGACAAAAAATGAATTTGCATTTGCTTGTCCATGAACTTAATATATGTCTGACAAAGGTTCGAGTCATTTGCCGGTCATTCTGGGAGTGGGGGAGACGGAAGGAGAAAAAGTTTTGAAGTGGTATCTAGTCTTTTAGTTTTAAAATTACCTCGCACCATCACTTTTTTGCTCTCTCACACACACACTCGTTCACTCACATGGCTGCACACAGATATGCTGCAACTTCCCAACTCTCAAAGACGTTTTTATGCCTGTTGTTACCTTTCCACCCATGGAAACAACAGAGGTTTTCATAGAAAACCATCAACATGGTAGATGGACCTTCCATACGAACTGCTGCATCCTAAAGCAGCGTGAAATAACTCCAGTTCTTCTCCCCCTCTACCCCTGCTGAAGATGCTGCTTTGCTGTACTGCATGCCTGTGCTACTCTTGGAACCAGGTTGTTAGGACCTTGCACTAAAGCCAGGTCTTTTTATGTTTTCTTCAGTAACACACAACCCTGATTCACAGTAAAGTCAGAACTACTGCCAGAAGATTTCTTTTTCTTCATGTGTTATGCACAGGCCTGTTAAGTCACTTCTCTCGCTGGCTGTTAAGGTCCTCTTGTGTGTGGTGTTTATTCCTATGAATGTAATAATAATGTAGCAATAAAAAAATAGTCGGGCTGGCATATGACAGTTTTTTCAACTCCAAATCATTAACACAGTCAACTCATAACTTGCTTCAGCCATGAGTAAAGTCTGAATTATGTTAGTGCACTCTATTGTGATCATTAAGGTTTTGTACTGTGGGCTATCACTGACTTCATGTCTCCCATTCAAATCTGATAGTTGGTAGGACAGCACCTGCCTACTGTGTTGTGTTTGATGGAGCTATTTTTTCTTATGCCAGCAATAGAATGCTCTTTAAAAAGAAATTTCTTTTATTCCTGCAAGTCTACTAATTTAAAGTTGCCAGATTTAGCTATTTTTGTATGTGTCAGTAGGTGTGGCACTCCACAGTTTTGCCCATTTTGTCCAGCATTTAAATGTTGTGCTATCATGTTGATTTTAACTTCTGATCATAAACTGTCTGCTTGGCATCTGAGAACAATTGGCTCTTCCCAGTCCTGTAACAGTGTTATTAGTAATTGACTTTTTTTTCCTCCCTTCAAAGTACAGAAGCAATCTATGCATAGGAGTCAAAGCATCCTAGTTATTTCCCATGACTTCTTTCATTTCTTCTATGTGTCTGTCTTTCTGTCTCTGCCTGCCCGTCTCTTTCTCTCTAACAGCCCCTTTGAACCAGCTGATGCGCTGTCTTCGGAAATACCAATCCCGGACTCCCAGTCCCCTCCTTCATTCTGTCCCCAGTGAAATAGTGTTTGATTTTGAGCCTGGCCCAGTGTTCAGAGGTAGTTGGGCTCTTCTTTCTTGTTTTCACCCAAACAAAATAAGTAAAACCACAGATGCTGTTTGTGCCTCACCCTCACACCGTGTGTATGTAAGTGTGTGAGTTTATCGAAACACCTCTGTTTTTTTTGCTTGGCCTGGCTGGATTGCTTTGAATGTGCTTTTCACACATACCCACTTTCACCTTTACACGCTTGAAAATGACTGTAAATGAAGTCTGACTTAAATCTTCAAAGGCAAGGAATTTCACAGTTGAGGTTTTTATGTGGACCTCAGCATGACTTTACTAAACAGAGGTCCTTAGATTGCATTGCAGTGATTTTAAAGACAAAGTGATGTCCTTAACTTAGAATTTCCTTGACTGTTCAGTTTAAGTCAGTTCAGTGCTTTAACAGTTTTTTATATTTAATATTATTTGTCTTGAAAAGCAATCTAGGAAATCAGATGTGAATGACAAACATTTCCATTGATACCTTGTTAGGTCTCAAGCTTTTCAAATAATGTGCATGTCAGCTTTCAACAAATACTTCACTTTGCGAATGTGCTCTTGATACCACATTGGGGCCCTAGATGGTTTAGACCATGCACTTTTTATTTAGTTGTAAATTTCCAGTGAAACAGTATTTGTTTTGCGTCCACGTAAAATAAGACTCTTCCATTTTCCTGTCATTGACTCTGGAGGTAATTCAGGCCTAAAGCTGTCAATGGATCTGTTGTATTGCACAAAATCCCCTAAAACTCTGTGGGATTGCATATGCTGGAGAAACCACCTGTTGAGTAATAGCATGAACTGTAAATGTGTGTGTCTATACGTATACATGTAGGAATGGATAGTTCAGTGCATGTAGTATCATTTTCAAATGCTACCATCTTGGCTGTTTCAAAGACTTTTGTTTCAGAATATATCAAGAGCAGTTCACCTTATGAACTTGTAGAGTTCTTCCAGAAGTCTTTGTAAGAAGACAGGTGTTCCCAACAAGCAAACTGGCTACAGAATGGAATACGTTACGTACAGCTTCAGAGTCCGAGCTAATGACTTGAGTCTAATAGTATCTGAAGTATTCTACTCTAATAACTTGGAAAACAGGCCATCTGGTATTATTATGAACAGATTAACTGTAATGTTCTACCATGTGCTATAAGCATTTTTGGTGAAGGGTGAATATTGTGCTAGTGGTATTAGTGAAATAGGAGAAGTTAGTTAACTCTAAAGAAAACTCATTCTAGTAGAGCTTTGCTATTGCAGAGAAAGTGTAACCCAGTAAACTTTTGGAAAATAGGTCATGTTCTGGGAGCATTTAATTCTATATATATATATATGTGATTTCAGACAATATAATAAATATATGACAGTATAATGATAATAACATGAATAGGAAGAGAAGTGCACCCTTCAGGTGACTGGCTTCTAGCTCCTTGTATATGTAGTTAGGATGCCCACTATGCATCGTTATTGTTGCTTCAGCATATGGGACAAGGTTTACGGATGCTGCGTCCCCTTTTTGATGTGTCAGTATGTCATTATTTTGTGCTTCCACTTCTAAATGTATAGATTTTAGGTCTGAGGACAGGCAGTGATGGATACATATAATCTGATAAATTAGCACGCACAAGTGACTGAACTTGACCAGTCATAAAATCAGATTTTGAGCCCAAGGCATTAGGAGACACTTCTTTGGTAAAAAGGGAGCTGCTGAAGGCATTTGAGGAGTACTGTGTTCTACCACTTCCCAGAACACTGATGTGAGAGAAAGCATTGGTATGTTGGAGGTCTGGTAGAGTGACATAAATTGTTTTGCAGAGCAGCATGAATTTAATTAACAGTTGACCCTGTTTTATGTCCTTCACATTGGGAGGGTCACCATAACCTTGTTATGAATAATTAGAGTGTATTTTAAAAAGCAGTGTCTAGTTGAAGTGCTCTATTTGTAAAGAGCCACTGGGGCTCTGAAACACAGCTCTGCTGGTGACATTTTCCTGAATAGATTTGTTTAGATAACATGTTGGCTACAGATGTACTGTTCTTTTTTGTATTTAATTGAATATGCTACAAATAGCTAACTAAAGTACTTGTTCTTTTTTAATCCTTTCTATGATTTACTTTTTTAAAAGAGAACTCTGCTAACAGATAGCTTTAAAACAGCCAAATGGTTTTTCAGGTTGCACTTGGAGACTCAGCTAGAAAACATCTAATTTTTATTTTTATTTTTTTTTTGCATTTAGTCTATTTTGATTCCAAAGTACAGCATTTCAGCTATTTATTGGGTCCCTAAAAGGTTAGCTCCAAGAAATCTGAGAGGTAGCTGCTGCTACCTAAATTGCTACACAAATTCACAAAGAAAACTGGTGGAATTAAAAAAATATATATTTTTGAGGGGTTGTTTTATTTTTTTCCTCCTTTATTTAAAGAGACATTGTCCTTCTGGTAGTTCATGAACAAGAGACTGGGGGCTATCTGGTAAACAGGGATATCTGATACAGACTTTTCCTGAATTCTAAGACTTGATCACTAATCTAATAATAGGAGAATATTTCTAGTATGTGTTTGTTTCCTTGTAACATTTACATTGATGTTTGGAGACACTGCATCTTAAACACAGTTCTTACACCTAGTGTCAATAAGCTGGCTTCTTAAAGATAAAATTATCCTGTTTCTGAAATTTAGGTTCAGCTGCAGGTTTGTCTGCAACACCTCCTGCCTCTTTGCCTGGGTCACTCACCAATGTGAAAGCATTACAGAAATCACCAGGACCCCAGCGGGAAAGGAAATCATCCTCATCCTCAGAAGACAGAAACAGAATGGTAAGGGAGAGATGAGCTGTCTTCATTTGTAGTATATTCATTCTGTAGAAATACTACACAACCATGTTCCTCTCACTCTTTGGTCAAAGCCTTCTGAATTATTTGGAAGATGAGTATGGTAATGATCAAGGGCTTTAAACTGATATATAATGGAACATTGAAATTGTGAGACTGATATATAAAATAACTGGCTATACTCACTGTTACTCCATTGCACCCAAATGTCTTGGTGTGTTTTGTATTATAATGCCAGTTTGTCTTCAAGTAACAGCTTAACTTCTCCCACCATGATTCATGAACTTTAGAAGTTCTCTGATAATTTTCAAATCTAACAACACATTAAAATGTCTGCATTTTTTTTCTTAATTCACAATTTAGCATTGTAATTGAGGCTTTCTTTTTTAGTTTGAGTTTCTTAACATTTACTGGTTTTAACACAGCCAGAAACCTATGACAAATATTTCATGCCAGGTAATAATTTAGTATACCTGCATGCTGAGGTTTTGTGTATGTTTGGCTTGAAAAGCCAAATGCAGTATCTGAAAAAAGAGAGTTCTTTTTAAGACTTTAGAGATACAAAATGCTTATACTAAGTCTTTAACAAAGGAGCCGTTTTCACAGACAATGCCCTTGCTTTCTTCCTTATCTTTTATGTCTATCTAAAAGAAAACTCTTGGTCGACGGGATTCAAGTGATGATTGGGAGATACCAGATGGACAGATTACAGTTGGGCAAAGGATAGGATCTGGATCATTTGGAACAGTCTACAAAGGAAAATGGCATGGTATGTGGCCATCATGGCAAACAGTTTTTAAGCAAGTAACAGTGCCTGCTGGAAGGCAGCTTCACAGAAAAGCACCTGGGGATTCTGGTGGCCATCAAGTTAAACATGGTCCAGCAGCGTGCCCATGCCACAAAGAAGGCTGATGATATCCTGGGCTGCATTAGCAAAGCGTTGCCAGCAGGTCGAGGGAGTTGATCCTTCCTCTCAGTACTGGTGAGGTGACATCTGGAGTGCTGGGCCCAGTTCTCGGCTCCTCAGTAAGAGAGACATGGACATACTGGAGAGAGTTCATTGAAGAGCCATAAAGTTGACTTTGAAATTAGTAAGTGCTGCAGTGTGTAGGTAATGTTAGAACGTCAGACTGTTTAGAAGCTCAACACTTGCATGTTCTCCTGAATTAATGATTAGGGTCAGGATGAAACACAGTTACTAGAAAGACTAAAGTATCCATCTTGATGAATAATGATTTTAAATGTGTATTTACAAAGCTTTGACTTGGTGAGAATTTCTCAGAGTAAACTAGGAATAGTGTTTATACATTTTACAGCATATGTACTTTAATATTGTAGTGGTTTATTTCACAAAAACTAGAAAATAGGATATCTCAGTATTATTGATGCTCTCTATATATAAATCTATATATATATATCTATATAAATCTGTAGATTTTCTCAATAGAGCAATATTTATCAATGATACTTACTAAAACTTGCTATCTTAAAGGTGATGTGGCAGTGAAAATGTTGAATGTTACGGCACCCACACCTCAACAGTTACAGGCTTTCAAAAATGAAGTAGGAGTGCTCAGGTAAGAATATTTTTAATGGCATAAAATAATGTGTGTAGATTTAGACTTCATTAATTACTGAATTTTTGGTCTCCATTAAAATACATTGGTCTTTTCCCTCCATGAGAATACTTCGGGCAAAAACTGTAGCGTGCCATTTAAAAATATTTCTCTGTATCTACCGCTAGTTCTTCTTTCCCCTGCATGTGTTTGTCTGTACACCTATGTTGTGAATATGTGCATGCCCAAACACTCAAGAAAGGACTGGTTATAGCTATTGTACTATCCCAGGGCACAGTCAAGTCTTAGTGTGAATTGTAAGCCTTCCTTTCCTCTCATCCATATTTTGAGACTGAAGGAGAGCATGACTAATTGTTTCGAGCTAACTGCTGCCCTGTTATTCATTGTTTAATAGTTTCTGTTCAGTAGCATTGACTTCTCTTTTGAGTTTTGGGATTTTTTTTTAAATGTATTTCTCAAAATCACTTTGTGATATCCTTTTCTCCTGTCTACTACTTGTACTTTCTCAGAGGAAGTCTTTATCTGGGGTTCATTTCTTAAAAGGATCCATCAGTATGATACAATAGAATATTTATTGGGGATGACCATCAGTATCCAAGTACAGTCTTGGGCAGTCTCAAGCATAAATCAGTTCAAGAAATAAAATAGAAAGGAGGTTGAGCCAGGCACATGTGCTGGAGGACATGGCGAACAGGAGATGGTCAGTTTTTTTCCCCCAGTTAATGTTATTTCTGAAACAAATTGGAAGTAGAGGCTTTCTGGGGTGTGTTGATAAAAGGGTTATCCTTCCTGGAAGCCTCTGAGACTAGAATTCCATTTTGGATGTCCTCCTAATGGGAAGCAACATCTCCTAGCTGGACTGGAGTTACACAAAAGCAGACCTGTCTGCAAACTGTTGCTGTCCCATGGGGACCTAGTGGTAACAGCATCTTTTGAGCAGTCTTGTGCTGGGTTGCTTGCAGAAGCAGCGCTTACCCTGGAATAGTTTTTCTGTGTCATTGTCAGAAAGGTTGACTGCTGGAGTAATTCATTAAACTGAATCTAGCAACAAGTTACCCTATTATCTTAGTAAAGATTGACCCAAAGATTTCTGTTTGGAAATACATATTTAGATGTTGATAGATCTGCCTGACTTTGTCCTTATTACCTGATCCTTCTGATTTCCGCTTGACCTTTTTTTTCCCCTATTTCAACAGGAAAACACGACACGTGAATATCCTGCTTTTCATGGGTTATTCAACAAAACCCCAGTTGGCTATAGTTACACAATGGTGTGAGGGGTCCAGCTTATATCACCATCTACACATCATTGAGACCAAATTTGAAATGATCAAACTAATTGATATTGCACGACAGACTGCACAAGGCATGGAGTAAGTATTGTATTACTTGTTTGCAAATAAGCGTTGGGGCAGTGTTTACTTATTCCCTTCACACTGACTGACGTTGGCAAATAAGGCCAACTAACTACTCACTTAGCCAAGTCCAGGGTCCTGCCTTGATGATCAAAGTGTTTGGTGAAGTGCTTATTATTTTTATTTACTTATTATTTTTTATTTATTTATTATTTTTATTTAAATAGACTGTGTTCTGGTTTCTTTGAACGTAGGGAATTACAAATCATGAAGGAAATACAGTCTTAAATAGGAGAATAAAGATAATTTTAGTTCAGTTAACCTTTTAAGCTTTGGAGCAAATATTCATGGTCCAAGCTTTATGATTGATCTTGACAGTGCAGATAGTCTTATGGTAGAAGGTAAAACATAGTTTAAAAAGAAACACCCTGTGAACAATAGAATGTAATCCTGTAAGATAGCACAGAAAGCAGACAGCCCTGATAGCAAAAAGAATCATTTTTTTCTTTTCTCCTGTTAAGTATTGTAACTCTGTAGAGAATAGATTTCAGCATTTGAAAAAAACATATATATTTTGTTTTAAGCACTTTAAGTAATCCTTATTCTCATAAGAGGGCAAATGAGTTCAGTTAGAATGTACAAAACTAGCCCAGTATTATGTGCCAAAATCAGAAAATGATATAAGACCAGAGAAATTGTCCTCCATCTGGAAAACCACTATGATCATTGCAGTTCATCAGGCCATTTTTTCTACTAAGTATTCTATTACATTTTTAATCAAGAGATGGGGAGGTGTTTGCAGCAGCCAGCCTCAGTCTTCTGCTAGTCTGCTCGTCTTCCCAGGCTCCCTCTGTAGGTAGTGGAAATGCAGAAGCTGGTTTGTGAGTGTAATTCAAAGCAGAGACATAAACTGGAGCTTTTCCAACAAGTTTGTGCCAATCTCATTAACTAAACGAAGAGTCATGGGAGGCTAGTTGCCTAATTGAGGCTGTATCTATGCTGTGGGGCAAGTACTCTTCTCTGTGTTTGCTGCAGTTTATTTATCCAGTCTGCAATCAAGGGATCTTTTTTCCCAGTCCCATGCTAGAAGGCAGAGAGCATACTTTGAGTACACACTGGGACTGGGAAGCACATTTAGTTCCTGCAATTTAGAAACACCTTACATAAAGCTGTGTCACTCTTGACTGTAACTATTAGGGCCTGGGGGCAGAACCTGCAGCACAGAATGACATGTCAAAAACTACTGAAGTTCTTTTGTTCTGAGTATTGAATTGGAACTGAAAAGCAGAAGTTGGTAGCATCAGGTTTGAGCTGGAAACGTAAGCTTTAGTTTATAGACTTTTACTGCGGTTTTACCTTAATAAATACGTGCATTTTGACTATCTACAGAATTCTTGTTTCAGTAATACAGTGGAGTTTGAGTTTTTGATTAGTGAAATATCATTTAACCCACCTAATCTATGATGTTCCGTTTCAGTTATTTGCATGCCAAGTCAATCATCCACAGAGACCTCAAGAGTAATAGTATCCTTTCCCAGAGATGTGATTGTAGAACATGACAGCATTCCTGTTTTGGTTTTTGTTTGGGTTTGGGTTTTTTTTGGGGGGTGGGGGTGGTTGTTTTGCTTTGCTTTGCTTTTTTCTGTCAGAAATTACCTTACTGATGTAAAACGCTGCTCGTGAGTATTTCCCGAGTTGAAATTACATTGAGAAGGGGTAATACCACTAGTAGCAAAGTAAGGAATACTCACTGTGTCTATTGATGCGATTGCCATAATGTAGGAAGTTTTGTTGAGGTATCGGGAACGTTTTTGTACCGTTTGGTTTCCGCATGCAATGGAAGATTACACCAGTTTGATCATGGGATATTTTTGGCTTTTCTTGTGTATGGCATTTCAAGGAAGCCGCCTGGACCATGGTCCTTTCAGCAGTGGCCCAGTTGTTACTTCTGTAACCCTTAAGTAGCATAATTCACCATGCTGACTGGATAGAACTTGTATTATATGAAAACCTTCTTTAATGATGGTGAATAGTTAAAACTGTTATGTCTAATGTTGCACACGTGTAGCTGCTTGTTGTTCTTATAGAACAGGACCAGTACCACTTGTTTGTTTTCCCTTAACATTTACCCCTTAGATATATTTCTTCATGAAGACCTCACAGTAAAAATAGGTGACTTTGGTCTAGCTACAGTGAAATCACGATGGAGTGGATCCCATCAGTTTGAACAGTTGTCTGGATCTATTCTATGGATGGTAAGCAAGGGGAAGTAGTGAGTTTGTTTCAACAAATTTAGTTGCCTTTGTCAAAAGTTTCTAAGACTACCCTTCCAGCGCACTGACATGTCTTAAGCTGCAAAAGACGAGCAGTAATATGAATTACTAAATGAATACTTTTTAGTTCTTCTTTAAGCACATGTTTTCCAGCAGTCAGCAAAAAAACTTTAGTGTCTTCATCCTTTATTTTGAGATTTAAACTGAAAATAAAATGATGGCTGAGGAAAAAGGGTATGATTAATCCAGGGTTGAGAAGGTGAGAAAAGCCATGGAGAATGTCCCACAGAGGAGCAGAGCCAAGAGGAAGGTGCTCTTTAAGTTTGAAGCATTCAAGTGTAGTTATTCTCAAGAGACTGTACAACTTGCTTAAGTCTTAAGAAGTGTAGTTGCACCCTCCTATGCAGCTGTGCTTTTTTTCTCCCCCAAAAAACCCTGAAGAGTCTGTTATTGGACATTATTTTCATTGTTATAATCTAGTTTCATAGTAGGTTCTTGGCCCAAACAAGGTAATTCTGTATAAATAAAAGGATCACCAAGCTAAAACGAACCAGTGGACTTTGAGGTTCATAGTAACATCCACTCTCTATTAGGACCCAGTAACATCTGGAGGCAAGAGTGGCATTTGCACTGTTATGTTTTGGACAAGTCCATGTTTTGTTCCTGGTGTGTGAGGTGCAGCCTGACATGGTGAAATAAAAACTAATTCTTTCCTTTTCTGGTACAGGCACCAGAAGTTATTAGGATGCAAGATAAAAACCCATATAGCTTTCAGTCGGACGTGTATGCGTTTGGGATTGTTCTTTATGAATTGATGACTGGACAGTTACCATACTCAAACATCAACAACAGGGACCAGGTAAGGGAGTGACTTCAGTAAGCTGTGGCCTGAAACAGAGGTAGATTCAGCCTTGTGAAGTGCACGTTCTGATGGTTTGTGTGTTTGTGTTTCTGATGTTTTGTGTGTTTGATTTGTGTTTCTGATGTTATGAGATGACATTTCTAAATTTTCTAGATCTGCCTCAGCCATGTAGCATCAATTCACTAGAGGTTTTGGTTTTTTTTTTCTACTTCAAGTATAGATTTTCTGCTTCTGAGCTGGTTGCCAGGATACTTATTAGGGAGAAAGCAGGTTACTTAATAGTAATCTGGTTTAGAGTAGTTCTGCAAAGGCAAAATGATCCTCCATATGTTGAGTTATTCCTTTCTTCTCCCTCCCTTGCGAATCCTATTCAGCAATAGGATTGACAAAATGGGACAGCAGTCGTCTTTCTGGGGTTTTTACATTCATTTTGATCGTGAGGAACGCATGCACCAATCTAACTGAATTTCAGGCTACCAGCATTTCTCAAATCTTGCTTGTTGGAGTTTGCAGAGTGTGTGAATTCTGTAAGAAGATTACTTAATTATGAACAAATATTCCTTAAGTCTGACGATACCACACGCCTGTAATATATGTCCACAGGATAGGCACGTTTGTGAAGCCACATCTGATTCATTATTTTTCTGTCTAATCTGAAAATAGTATCTGTGCATCAAGATCTTTGGTGTAAACTATTCAGTGTCTGGGTGGTGTTATATTTATGTTGTTTCTGTGTCCACATCTCTTGTTTTTTCACTGTCAGTACTTGAGAATTGCAACCATAGCAACGTTCATCTGTGAATGCCATTTTATAAGGCTGCTTCCATATCTGTCAGAACACTTCCAATTCATCAAATTTGGAGTGACTTGTTTTTTTTTTTAATTATTTGTATTTTTAATTGGGTTTGCTGTTTGGAAGATGGGAAATGTCCAGATTCATGGCCAGAAGGATATTATCCTCTAAAAACAGTATTAAGGCATTGTTTTGGTTTTACCTTTTGTGATTTGAAAGATGAATCCAGTGATGTGGGTGCTAACAATTGAGTGTTGAAGCAAGTTCTAAACTGCAAGAGAAGCCAACATATAAAATGTAATCCAATGCCTTGAGTTTTGTCACACCCAGTTGATTGTCTGAGAAGATGGAAGTACTGCTCGCTCTCTGTTGGTGCCTCTGCATCAGCTACTATGGCACAACTGGGATTCTTTGTGAGCAAAGCATCCTTGTTTCTCTCACCTTAACAGATTTTTCTGGGCAGACTAGGACTGTTCTTTTAGTGATACTGTCTTTTCTCCAGTTAGAATAAGAGTTTAATCCCTGTATTATTGGTAAAGAGAGTGTTGGGAACATAGATAATAACGAATTTTTAATCATTTCAACTTCAGTAGTGTAACTATTTAGAGAAAAGTAATTTTTAGATGATAACTCTCATTGCGGCAGTGGTAAGGGATGGGGTAGACAAGTCTTTACTATGAAATGCTGCTCTGGCACATGGAGATGTCTAAAGAAACCATATGGGAGTTTTAATCTCCTTGATGCCAGCACAGATGCAACTGAATCAGAAAGTTGAAAAGGCACCAGGATTGTGTTAGTACAAATAAAATCTATAGCTTGCATGAGGTGTGCGGGTTTTCTGTTATTTTTGCCAGTGTCCAGATACAAAATAGTTACACTTCATTAAATACAAAGTATGATATACCTGCTGGGTCTGTCTGAGTATTCAGAAAAGGTAGTGATTATCTGCGTCAGCATGAATGGAGCTTTGATTAGCTAGTTTGAAAGGGGTTTTTAGTGTCAGCACAACTGCAGTACTCACCACACTGCATTTGACATTGGCTTGGCATGATGATGTTTGATGGCATATTTTTATATATCCAGGAGAACAGTAACCATATTTAATGCTTTGCTTTCCTGTTTTCTATTAGTTTACTTTGTTCTATGCTTAACCATCCTTACATGAAATATAAGCCTTCCATGTTAAAGGAATTACTGTAAAAATACAAAGCCTGTCTGTCTCCTCTTCTACAGAGGACACAGTTTGTCTTTTTCTTTTGTGGTTTTCGGGGCGTGGGGGGATGGGGAAGGTGGTCAGAGGCAAGAATAATCTTTTGTGGTAGAAAAGTAGATGATGAAATCTATTCTGAAAAGGTAAGGGTTCTTAATGTTTGAAGCCTGGGTGTTTCTAAAATACCTTCCATGAGAACTTGCTGTTGGCTTATAAAACAGAATATTTATTTTTAGGCATTCTGTTCCTGCCACAGTGTTGTTTATTCTTGTTTTTGTAACAGTTTTTGACACTGAAGGACCGCTCCTTAGATGGTTATTGCTATAAATGGTAACCATCTACTAGTGTTCAAGTTCCACCGAAATCTCTTCTTGGAGGAGGAGGAGGAAGAAATCTAATTCTTTTTCTCTATACTGAATAGGTTTAGCAAGCTTAACTCCAAGAAATTTGGCAATTTCAGCACCAGACAGTGTTTCCTGGGAGCAGAAAACTTGCTGCTGGGATCAAATGTTAATTTTTTGTAACTGTTGTTTTATGGATTCATCTTCTTCCCCTTTCATCTCTTCTTTCCTTCAATAAAGATAATTTTTATGGTGGGACGAGGATACCTATCTCCAGACCTCAGCAAAGTACGGAGCAACTGTCCAAAAGCTATGAAAAGACTAATGGCAGAATGCTTAAAAAAGAAAAGAGATGAGAGACCCCTTTTTCCACAGGTGAGAAGTGTGCCTCTTTAGTTCTCAGTAGACTTTACAACTCAAATATTAAAACTAAAGATTGGTTATGAAATCACTGGCCAATTCAAAATGTCATTGATCAGTGCTGTAGCATAACTTCATGAAAGTGCTGGTTCAGTACCTGGTTAGTACTGTTTAATTAGTAGTGTTTCTTTTGAATTCAAAAAGCAGGTATTAAAGTGACCTGTATGGTTGGAAAAGCGTTTGTGTTGGAGAAAGTTTCAACAGGGAGACAGTCAAATTAATAACCACAATTAGACACACAAATTGCAACTAGGTGTATGTTCTCAGAACATACATCTCAAGAGCATCTCTTACACCACCCTCCTTGCTCTACCCTAAGCTTTATGAAGGCAAGCTGGTAGTTTTGTCACAAAACTTGGCTTATCGTGCCCGCTGGGGAAGGTTTGGGCTCTACAAGCTTGAGGGGGACCTTGGATTTTATTCTTAATGTAACCAAAGCTTTTTCAAAAACTAAGGAGCTCCACCTGCTGGCGTTATGGTGAACGGTGTTAAGCGAACTGCTGCCAAAGCGGTGTTTATTTGCAGCGATGGGAGGTATAGGTACTAGTGCATGAACAAGGAGGCAAAATAAGAGGTGACTATGCTTACAGAGGGAAAGCAGTATGCCCTTTAAATGGGTAAAATGAGGCATTTTTTTCTCCCAAAATGTCCTTTTTAGCCTTTTTGGGGATCAAACATCAGAGCGCAATGCAGTGATCTAGTTTTTAACGTTTCAGTTTAAATGTCTCTATAAATATTTTCCTGTAGTTAATTTATGTTCTGCCTTTGGTTTTAAGAGAGTGTTACAGCTTTGGACAACGGATTTGATTGCTTGTTTTCTGCATGTTTTAGATTCTTGCCTCCATTGAGCTTCTGGCCCGGTCGTTGCCAAAAATTCACCGCAGTGCATCTGAGCCCTCATTAAACCGGGCTGGCTTCCAGACAGAGGATTTTAGTCTATATGCTTGTGCTTCTCCAAAAACGCCCATCCAAGCAGGGGGATACGGTGGGTTTCCAGTGCACTGAAAAGAAATGTGAAAGCATGTGCCTGTGTGTCTGTGTGCTGGTGTGTTCCTGTGAGTGCAACACGTGTACGTTCTCGGTTCCTACCAGCTATGTTTTTAAGGTTTACTGAGGGAATGAAGACTTTCTTCCTGAAAGTGGGCATTGAATGTCCTGAGCACAAAGTCCATGTTGGTAACAACTGCCCTGGGAGCAGCTGGCACAAGAAGAATTATAAGAGAAATGGGAAAAGGCACTTCAGAACAAGCAAAAATCCTCTTAAGGTCATTGGGTGTCGTTTTTGCTTGCCTGTGTTGGTTTTGCCCAGTTTGTTGATTGGAATTAGAGTGTATTTGATTTTAATCTACTCAAGCTCTGATGGTTTGGGGTTTTCTTACTTCAGTTGATGTCATTATGTTTGAGCAATAGGCTTTAGATTCCTCCGTTAGTAATGCTACTCATGTGTGGGAAGCAACTGGGAAAATAAACTTACATTCCAGCCTAAGCACAGTTGAAACTTCTTGTGGTCAGGGGAGGTGATCAGGTACAGCACACAATCCAGAGAAAGACCTTAGTGAAATGTGACTCTTACTTTGGAAGTTGAAGTTTAAAATAGTGCAGGTTAGAGAACATGTATTCCTGCAGAGGAGTGGTGGTGTGGGGTCTCCTAACATTTAATTTTGCCTGAATACCCTGACCTGTTGTGCTTTAGACCATCCCAAAATGTTCTATTACAATGCAACATAGAATAAATTCTGAACCTGCTTTTGCTGGACTGCAAGAACAGTGCTGGTGCTGGTGCCTCTGTCCTGCAATTAGCACGGATTTCAAAATTTAGAAAGAACACAAATACTTTAAATCTTGGGCATAGCCAAATACTTTAAGAGAAAAAGGCTGCTAACACCCGTAATGGGAAAAGAGGATTTGAAAAAGCAGTTGCTTTCATGGAAGTCAGTATTATACCATGAATTCTGTTAAGATGAAAGGATTTAATTACTATTGTTAAGAATACCATTGAACATGCTTCTGTTTAGTGATGAATTGTTTTTTTCACTTCCATGTAAAAGTTCCCAGTTTGACTGGAAGTGAATCAGTTAGACCAGATACCTAACCGAGAAAGCTAGACACCTTACCAAGGTCCTGTCAGCTCACTTTACAGATTGTATTCTTCCCTGGAGCATTCCTCTGGAACAGGTGAATCAAAGTAGTGGTTCAGGTTGTATTAGTCTTGGATGGCAGATATGAAAACAGTAATGTTACTGACTGCATTCTTGCTTATTTTGAAGTCAGTTACGTGGGTTTGTTTGTGTTAAACTGCTAAGCTATTAATTTTCACAGATTCTTCTGCATCAGAAACAAGCTCTTGCTGCTGTTGTTAGAACTTCAAAGGCCAGGAGTGTTCTTAATGGCTTCTCATTTACATACTTGCAGAGGATTTTGCATGTTGCTAGCCATAGGTTTTTGAAATAGATCAGGAATTCAAAACAGGGTTGGTTTTCTGCTGTGTGGCAACTGAGCCTTTTAAAACAGGGAGCAGAATTAGAGCTTGAAGATATATGTAGGTAATTTCTACGTTTTCTGGCCAGATTCGAATGATCTTGGCTTCTGCTGTTGGAACACTTTGGGGAAACTAACTTGTCTTCTCATCTTGTTAGTTGAGAAAATGCAGATGTTGACATCTGCAGAAATAGTGATGGAAGATGAAGGTTGTTATTGTTTTAGGAAATCTGTTTCCCATCTTTCTGGCAGCTTCACCTCATTTTGGCAGGCTTTTCTTAACATGAAAACAGAATTTAAGTGGGGACTTTTCCCCCCTTATTCACTCATTACTTTAATTCTAGACAGTGAGGAGCAATGTTTCCTAAGCTTTGAAGTATGATATTCAGTACAGGCTACAGTGCCCATCCCAGTAAAAGCAAGAGGGTGCCGTTGGGTCTCCTGCAGAATCTAGAAATGGTGGCATCCCACCCAGGAAAGGCTTAACCACAGGGGGAGTTACACAGAGTGCAGAATCATCATCACTGCCCTGGCCAGGCCTACTCTTTTTCAGGTCTGCCAGATGAGTTCAGACCAGTTATTCCTTGGAGTAGTGTTATCCTCTTTGTTAAGATTGCTTTTCTCTACTACTGGAACTGCAGTTACAGGGGAAAAAATGCTGCCATCCTTAGAAACACTTGAACCCATTTCCTGCTGTATGGTCAGTGTATTAGATTTACTCCTGTGTCACCTACTCTTACATGCTGAGCATGGTTTGGAATCCAGGGAATCCATGACCATAATGTGATCTTAGCTTCTCACTGAACACTTCATGAAGCCTAAAAGGAGGCTGGATTTTGTGGATCATTAACTTTATCTGACATAAAGGCATTTAGGGTTTTAACTTCTGTAATTTGTAATTGCTGCTTCAGTGAGATTTGGGAACGTACGTAGGATGAAAATGCCTAAATACACCTGTGGATTTGGGTCAGTGCTCTCAAAGATGCTACTTAGCTATATTATTTAGAGACACATACCAATTGGTCCTGAAAACAGGTCTGTAGGATCCCTGGCTTTCCTGAAGGGGTAGTTTATACTTTATGAGACTCCTTTTTTCGTTACTTCCCTGAATCTAAGTATAGAAACAAAATCTGTCTTGGTACCTTCTAGAAGGACCAGATCCTCATAAGCCCTGCTGTATAGTCTTCTGAGGATACTAATTACCCACATCTGAGTATGTTCCAAATTATTATTTAGCCAGTGAATGGCATCCATACTAGAAGGTCAGCATGAGATCCAACGGAAAATTCCCTCTTTGACATACTTTCTGTGAATGTAATCCAAGCAAGGTGCTGGAATTTGGTGTTTCCCTTTTATAAGTCTATCCAAGTCTCTCCTTGGATAGACAAGGCTGGCACAGGCCTGGGAGGGAAGCATTCTTCTCCTTACCATTCTGAGAAACATGGCATGTACCCAGGATGAGGAGATAAGGAGTACAGTTAAGATGTCATGCATATACCTAGTAACCTCATGAGTCCAGATAACTTCTGAATTTGTCGTAGTAGAGATTGGTAACTGCATCTTAAATCTCTCAAGGAATTAGGGGCAGCAGGTTCACTCAGGTCATGCCCTTAGAGTGTACTGTTTGGAAGCAATGTGAAATAACTTTTATCATCTTTTTAGTACAGGTTTTATTGAAAGTGCATTTAGAACAGATTCCACTCACTTTGCATGTGAGAAGTGTGAAGATTGTAGCAACTAACTTGAAAGGGCTCTGTAAGTGTAGATTTTCAACTGCTATTCATCCTTTGGAAAGGAATTTCTTTGTTACTAGTCCAAGCAAGTATCCGAAGACCTGCTTGGTAAAAAGCACATCAGCTGCCTGGCTCACAATGACTGAAAATGTATGGGGTTTTTTTACATCACAAATCATGAAGTATGTGGTTTTGTAGCTTCATGGTTAAGCTGATCTCATTTGGAACAGCTGCGGCCCAGCTCCTTACCCTTGCACTGGCAAATTCCACTAGTCCATTCCACGCAGTTGAGTGGGTTCCCCCCACCGTCAACAAAGCAGCTATCCAAAAACTGGTTACAAAACTCTTCTTTCCCACCAACCTGAGCTATCATTTGCTAGATCAGCCCCTTGAGCCATCTTGCCTCAGAGCCAGTGAGGCACGGTGCTCAGTGTGGCACAACGGGCAGGAGGGAGAGTGGGACTGCAATAATCCCAGTGTAGATTAACACTGGCTGTCAGAGAACCATGCCAAAAGATTTAGCAGGGCAGAATCAGGATGATCCTGCAGGACGGGGCATAGTGGGTTGTGTTCCTAAAGCTGTCTTCATTTCATCCATTCATTTGCCCTGGGCATGACCTTCCTCTCCTGATAGATTCACAGTTTAGGTTGCTTCATTTATATGTGTGCATCTAATTCTCAGGAAGAGGCTGCCTGTGTTCTGTCTCCCTCTCCTACAGGTGAAGTTTCTTTCAGAAGATAAAAGAACCAACTTACAAATATTTTACATATTCAGAATAGAAAAGGTGACACGAAGCATTTTAGCTGCTCCTCAGAAAGTCCTGTCAACACCCAAGATGGAGGATTCCTGTTTGTGGATGGATGTAGCCATCTTATCTACATTCTTCATCTAGGGAAAGCCATTACTGCCTGTGTATTTCATAGGTGTTAAATCAACGTAATCCCATCATTAGATATTTTGGTCTCCTCCTGATTGGACGTCAGAGTAGCACCTTAATTTTGAAAGCAGATCTTTAGCATTAACTTGTCAAAGAAAATGTCTTTGCTAAGGTTTTATTTAAATGGCAGAAAAGTCTGAAAATCACCTTTTTATAGTTAGCGTTTTATCTGAGATGCTTCTTGATTTCTGATCCCATTTTTCCATTGCCCTTTCCCAACTAATGGTTCATCTTTTATCTTCTGAAATCCCTGTATAACTATTAAAAGCTGAATTATTACCAGAAATGGGCAGAAGGACAAGATGAGTAATGAGGGAGCGATCTCTTGTTTATAAATTGGTCTTTAATCAGCAGTTTAGGAAGGCAGACTGAAAAATAAATTAAGTAGAGCATGTTTTGAAAGCGTAGCTAAGCCTGAATGCCATTCTTAAAAATTGGCCTCACAGGCAAATACTTGATGACTTTTTCGTCCTTACCTTAAAAGTACCAAAAATGAGTTGTTTCTAGAAGATCCTGTGAAGAGAGTTGGGAAATAGGTGAAATGTGTCAGAGAAGCAAGAAAAATGTAACAAATACTTTATTTTAGAGCAAAGGTTTCATCTGTTGGTAGAACTGGTAAAACGGGCAGTTAGACCCATCATAAAGTTTTTATTCTTTTGTTGTTAAACCTACCACTACAGTCTGTCAAGACTTGAGGTCTATCACAGTTGCCTGTGCCAGCCACCATTACATTAGACTGTGAGCATACTCCATTCTCATTTCCTACAACAGACAGAGCTCTCTCCTTGCTTTCTTAAAGCTCCCTTAGATCAGCTGGATCAGCTTTTCCTGCCAGGCCCTGTGTAGATGGCATTTCTTCCCCCTTCTTATGCAGTCTCCCGATCACTCTTGGCTCTCTTCTTTAGAGAACAAGACATTCACAGAATTAATGCTATTAGCCAAAAATCCTGTTTGCAGGGATGTGTATGGTTTGTCTCCAATAATCAGAATAAGAGTCTTAAGAAAAAACAAAGCAACAAAGCCAACAAAACACTCGCTCTGGAAAGGATGGAAAGACAGCATGGTAGGGTTAGGGTTAGGGTTAAGCAGTTGTTTGGATGTAAGGGCATTCAACATGCCTCTGTTGAAGAGAACAAAGGGTCTCTGATGTCTGCTTATCACTCCATTATTAGCAGAGCTCTGAGGAGTGCTGTCAAGAAAGGGACATAAACTAACCCAAACCTCATGTGAAACCCAGCATGGGGAAGTTAGATGTGTGTTTCTTCTTCTCATGCTCCTGAGTCCTTTTGGTTAAGCATACTGGAACACCCCTCCCTAAAAATCTGATGAAATGCAGTTTCTTTGTGGGTGGCAGGGGAGTTTTTTGGCTGAAGTTTAAGATGATGAGGATGATTATCTTAGGTTCAGCTTCTGTTCGGTGTGCTGGCAGACTTCTGAAGGCTTTGGGTAGCAGTTTTACTCTGTGCCATTGTTTCTTCTCTGAAACGGGACTACCAGTCTATCTTATGGCATGCTGACACTAAATAAACTGTAGCATTTCAGGAGATCATTGCATGTGAAAGCACTGCATACAATATTATCTAGTCAGTAGCTGTGAAGGAAGCAAGGGTTTGCTTTAATTTGTTGTGCTCCCTATTAGCAAGGCCTAGTTTCTGGTCTGGGATTGAGTAGACAATCTCACCATTCTTTTTCTCACAGTAGGTTGCTGTGTTGGTGTCTAAACCAGATCCCAGCATTCTTTAATACTGGTTTAATCAGGCACTTTACAGTACTTAGTCTTTAAAGGTTAACGGGTGTGTCAGGTAGCTCTTTGTTATTAAGTCAGTTTTACACCAGACTGGAAATGAGTTTGCAGCCTGGCGCATTTATTGCAGTTGATGCTTTTCAGGAGGATATATGTGCAATAAGGAGTTTAAACTGAAATTAACCTGACACATTTTCAAATGCAGAGTGAATTAGGCTTTGCTTGAACTTTCAAACCTGTATCTTGGGAAGGATGGGTACAGCTTGCTTTCCAGAAATCCTTTTTTCAGTAAAATACGCTGGGTCTGTATTCAATGTTCTCTCACTGTGTATTCTCTTGTGCTCGGATTTTAACAGTTTGCATTTTTTAACATCTTTTATATTCAACCTAATGTTCAACTAGTCTAGAGAAAATCTCTGACCACCTGGTCACTGATACCGCCTTTTTAAACCAAGCTCTTGTCCTCCCTCTACAGGAGAATTTGCAGCGTTCAAGTAGCCACAGCACCATGGCAGCACCCACTCTGTTATTTAAGTCTTGTGTTCCGACAGTTTCTTAACATCCAAACTCTATTCTGCTCCGCAAAACCTAAAGTAATTTAGAAAAGATATCCATAAGCTTAAAAGTGGAGCAGAATGGAACTGCCAGTCCAACACAATGGGAAAAAGTACCTTTTTGGGAACCAGAATCCTCTGCTGCCAGTGTTTCTCCTTCAACACAAACCACCACGTGCATTCGGAGACCCGCAGTGGCTGCCTGTGCCGTTGGCATCATTCCCAGGAGAGAGGAGAGGGCGCTCGTGGTTTGACTGTGGTGCTCGGGCATGAGGGGATGGAACTGCTGCTGCAACTTAGGAGACTTGCTTTGGATGGTCTGCCGGTCAGCTTTCTCCCTCTAACAACGTACCATCAGAGGCCGAAAATCTGATGAGTGCTAATTTACAAGAATCATCCTCTGTTCTGATCTTTTTTTTCCCGGTGTACTCACTGATTTATGGACAATGCAGTATCCCCTTTTCACTGTATTACACCATCAAACACCTAAATCTGTCTGTATTATGGGGGTTTATTCCGATAAAGTTAAAAGCGGGGGGTGATGGGAGCTGGAGAAGATGTGACTCTAAGGCAATGAGGTTAACCTGAAGGAAAAGGGGATGCTGCTGCACCTTTTTTCAGATTTACTTTATCACTTCTTCAAAAAACATACAACCACCACCAACCTTAACCTGTTTCCTTTTTCAGTGTTTTCTCGGTGTATGCATATACAACATCTTTGAGAAGGATCACGTAGATCCTTCTTTTTGATCCAGCAACAAACTGAAGTTTAAAAAGCAAAACAAAAAATGTAGCGAGATTGTCCTCTCTTACTCTTTTTCTTTTGTATCATATGATACAATGTATTTATCAAAGATGCTACCACAGCATCTGAAGTCTGTAGAATTCCCAATACAGACTGTGAATGGTGTATGTACCTACTTTAAAAGTTTTATTTTAAAAGAGGGTGCAGGTTAATGCCAGGTACCTTACCGAGATGTAATGTTTTCATAAACGGGGAAAAAAGTTCTCAGGTTGAATTGAATACAAATCCAAAACCCCCTAGAATTAGACATTCCGAAAAATTATGTTTTGGTACTTTCAAGAGCTTTTTTTAAAGGATTTTTATCCTGTTAACTAAACGTCCTCTGATAAGTGTGTGTGTAAATGTGGAGCATCTTGTCCTAATGGCAAGTTGTTAGATCAAAACAAAACGGTACTTGCTGGATCCACACTGACTACTTCTCCTCTCACAGCTTTCTGCCCTGTCATCTCTTCCCTTCCGTTTGTCTTTCCCTTATGTATGCTTTGCAAACTAGGATGAAGGTGGCGGTGTTTCCACTAGAGTGCTTTGTTTTCCTGTCCTCCAGTCCTGGTTTTCGGATGGTTGATAGCTTTTTCACAAATTACCCAGTCAGGGAAGAAGAAAAAACCCAACTCATCAAGTTCTGCACATTGTTTACCTCTCATAGAGTATGTTGTGATGTGATCTGTTTGCAGAGTTCTCTGGTATGTGGTATTACATGTAAATTATCTGTACAGAGGCAAGTCAGACCACATGAGAAAGAAATCCAAGCTCAGACAGAAGTTTTCAGAGTTTGATTCGCATCTGCCCTGTACCACTCTGAGTGAGGCAGGAGAACCGACCCCCACCTCCAGCAGGGAGGTACTTGCTGGGAAGGAGAGGGGTGTTAATCATGACAAATAAATGAAGGAGTTAAATGTGTGTGAATGTGTTGTCCGTGCTAAACATGGGTTTATTGGGTGAGGACAGTGTCCTTCCCTCCCTAGGAGAGCTGGACTGTTTCTGTCTATAGAAGGTTGCTCCCAGGTGAAGGGAGAAACGCACATCGGTAGTGGGACATAGTGTTAAACCCCTGGAGTTCTGCAGTGTTGCTGGTAGTTTGTTATGTTTGTCAGTAAATATTTACTGGGGTTACAGGGACGGGACTAATCTGAAGTGGGAATTATAACTGAAATACTGTGTATTCATATTAATTCCACAAACATTAGCAAGACAGCAATAGTGAATGACTTGATAGTCACTACAAGAATGAAGTGATTCATGTTGGTACATGAATAGATTTGATTTTGTGTACAGATGCATTTAAAAAAAATACAAAAAAAACAAGCAAAAAAAAAAAAAGCACAATTTTTTCTTGTCTGCTGTGGGTCTTCAGATGCTGTAAGGTTTTTCCTTATCGAGATTGGCAGGAATTTAAACAGTAGCAATAGCCACTTCCCAGTGTGGAGAAGCTGATGAGCAAACTGGCGTACATACGGTGAAACCATAGTGCTCCCTGGTGATCATCTGAGGCCAGTACCTAAGAGGTGGAAGGGGCCAGGGCCACTGTGGTCAGCAGGCAGGTGGGAGCATTCACAGCCAGACTCCCAGAGGATGAAGTAGTCGCTGCTCGTTCTCCTTCTGTGGCCCCATGTGTAGGTGTCGGACATACTGGAAATGAATGTTCTCTCGAAAGCAGCTTATTGGAGCAAGGTGGTTCAACAGTCATTTGTTTCACGGAGCTTCTTAAAAGCCCTGGTTTCCTTCCACAAGGTCATGCGGGGGGAAGACTGTCTGCTAAAATATAACTGTTAGGAATTGCATTCACCTTTGCTTAAAGTTAACTTATTTTTGGTGAAGATTCATTACCCATTAGTCTACAATATGCTTCTTGAGCCCATAGGAAAAGCACAAGGAAAATTGCTATCCTTGTCCATGCAAAGCACTTTATAAGTAACACATTATCTCTTGTTTTGTTTTAGGATTTGGGGGTTTGTTTGGTTTCAGTTTTGTTCTGTTGTTTGTTGGGGTTTTTTTATGGGGTTTGTTTGTAGTTTTGTTTTTCTGGGGTTTTGGGAGGGGAGTTGGGAGTTTGTTTTTTTTCTTTTTCCCTGAGGAATGTGCAAGTTGTTTGGCTGCTGTTTAGAGAAGTCTTTTCAAGATGCATTTCTACTGGTTTTTGCATTTGTTTGTTGCCCTCCAGATAGCTGTAGTAGTGTGTGTTTGTCTGTAAAAGGTCCCATGTAATACTCATGCAAAACTTTGGAAGAAATTTGGTTTGTAAATAATTGGGATTTTAATCTTTTTTTAATCTTTTCCTTTGGGAATTTTTCTGGATGTCTTGCATGCCATCAGAACCAGTCTTAAAGGTGCCCTGTAGATGTTTAGTGAATGGGGAGGTAAGAGTAAACGAGAACTGAGTGCCCTGTATAGCAGTGGGATGAAGGAGATAAACTGAAATGACCAATGTGTTCATGTCCATTACACCAAATGTCTCAAGTTTCTCTGCGCTGTCCTAACCACAAGCACATGCCATATTATGGATATGTTAGTTCCCTGGCAGTGTTCAAGGCCAGGCTGGGTAGGGCTTGGAGCAACGTGGTCTAGTGAAAGGTGTTCCTGCCTATGGCAGGTGGTTGGAACTGGATGAGCTTTAAGGTCCCTTCCAGCCCAAACCAGTCTGTCATTCTGTGATGATTCTATGATTTTTGAGTGTGTGTGTTGGGACAGACATCCAGACAGTCATGCTGCTTTTAGCTCTACAGTGTCTAGTACCTAATCATTTGGAAAACTACTAGTATCCAGTCCCAGCTATTCATGTCTTTATTAACCACACATATACCTTCCCCTCTGCCTTTCCTTTTCCATACAATTAGAAGAGGCCTGTTATCTGTTACATATTCCGTGTCAGTACAAGATCATTTTCGGTGGCATATTTGCCAGAACTGAAACATAATAATGGAGCTTAAGCCAAATGGTATGAGCATAGGAGCCTGGTTATTTTGAAAGTCATTTCTGCTTGAATTAAGCCCTACATAGCCCCAGATATGATTAGCCCAGTCATTTCTTTCTGCTAAACTCATGCAGGCCATTAAATGAAGCCACTTCTGGTTTTCACACCCAAAATCATCTTTCTTTGCACCTGAATGCTCTAGCAGCTGCTGCTGATGCAGAATGTTGAGGCCAAATACTGCCATCTTCTGGTGGCCTGTCAATATTACTTGGATTAGTACTTGCTCAGTAGAGGTAGAATTTGGCCTTCATGCCATAAAATGAGTGAAATGCTGACTGTTAATTACCATGTCTTTCCACAAAAGCCCAAATCAGGGGAAGAAAATACACTGAAGATCACACATAAATAGGCTTGCTTCTGTGTTTGCCTGTTGATGTCAATGCATCCAGCATTTAACAGACTATGTAGGGAAGCAAGATTGCCAGACACCTCACAAACAAGTGTAAGCTCACGTTTTGATAGGTGGAGAGGCTGAATTTAGGGAAGAAGCATGTAAACATTTCACACTTTGCAGCCTATAGATTTCATTGCCTTCTTGACTGTGAGTGTAGCATGTGTAGCACAAACTGTTCGTAGTACTGTAGATGATGTGTCTTCTGTCTGTTGAAAAAAGTCTCACCAGTAGCACAATGTGACAGGCAAAGCTTCTAGGTACAATCAAGTTCAGTCAAAAAGCAGTTGCATGAGAGGACTGTTAGGGCATCACTTTGAAGGTGCTGGGTGTTCCAGTTTTCTGTTATGCATCTTAAATAGAAGTTTGTGGAATCAATGTTCCATTGACTGCATCCCTGTTAATATGCGTTTGCACTTCACATTTGTTTTGGCATGCATTTTAAATGTCTGTCTATCTTCAGTGCTTCATTACTTCTTGCTTAGTAAATGGAATCATCAGAAGAACAGAGAAAAGTTGTTAAAACTTTTTCCCTGCTTTTAAGTTTCAAGGATGCTAACACAGAAGCTACTGAGTCAGCACCGTGACAGCAGTAACTAACTACGAAACTGTGGAAGGACAAAACATGAAGAACTGCAGATGAAAACTAGCCTCTCTCTTCTTTAGAACAGAGAGCTACCAAGACTGTCTCTCTGTTACTTGGTTTGTGTAGGGATCCCCCCAAGTCTTTGCAGTTTGCCAAATGATCATGTGCCTTCACAACCTTAAGAAGTCCAACAGAATGTAAACCAGGTGCTTTGTAACTAGAGCAGTGGCTTTGGTTTACTTCTGCTGCAGTAGTTTTGTACATAGCTGTTACTTATAGGTAGGTAGTTTAGAGCTGGTAAACTTCTGTAAAGTAGCAAGGAGGGCAGACAGCATTCTCCAAAACACCTATTACTATTTCAGAGCTAGAACTGAAGGATTCCTAATTCAGTTACAGGAAACCTGCTGCTTGAAATCTGCTCTATCCAAAGTTAAATGAGGTTCATTTAATTCAGAATAAGCCCTCCTCCCACTCCAAAGACACAAAGATCTTGTTAAAGGAAGGTAATGGAAAGCCCTGAAAAGGCCCAAAGTTACAAAATGACATTGTTATAGCTTCTTGGAATGTGATTGCAGATGAAAAATGAGAGCTGAATGAGGAGAAATTGATGGCTAGTACTTGTGTAATCCAGGTATGCATATATCAGACTGTACACTCGATTACCTGGCCCAGAAAGTGCAATTAATTGCTTTCTGGAATATCAGCAGGTTTCCTTAGCTATTTTTTGGCCTCTTACAGTGATGCATACTGTTACTGCACATTAACTGTTGGGAGATGGTAGGTGTCTTGTCAACTGAGGGGACCCACCAGTGTGTTTGAATTTGATTTGTTCAAGTTTCAAACCTCTTACGTAGACTTACGGCAGTACTTAACATACCAGTGTCATATTTACCTACCTGTCCATAAAGGACGAAATATAATGGGCTTTGGTATTAGTGCTTTTTCAGATTTTTTTCTTCTCTGGGGCAAGACTTTAGGCATAATTGTAAATTAGTGTTATGTCTAAATGCACAGTTCATACAAAATCTCAGAACAGTTTTAATTCGGCTTTGTTCCTTTTAGGCAGCAAAGTGTAAAAACATTTTACACGTTTCAGGATCTATCTGGAATCCTTCTGCCTACTCCAAACTCTGCACTAAAAGTACATGTTAGGACATGGATGAACTATTACACCAAGAGAAGGGAGCTGATGGGAGAGTTCAGAATCTTCTAAACTACCTAGGCATTTGCTTCACAGTATCACAGCAGCAGTGTCCTCAGCTCATCCAGCCTCCTTAAGAGCCAGCAGTGGCCTGTGCGGTCATTTGGTCTAGTTTGTCCCGTTTGCAGCAGCTGTACTGTAGAATAAGCCTTGTGTGACATGTACTTTTGAGCGAGTAAACCACAAAAAATAAGTTTGCTTTTTTGTTTGGGTTTGGAAAATGGCTGGGTTTTGTTTTGCTAGATGTTGTTATTCTGTGTTGCATTGGTGTATTCACCAGGGTTGTAGAAAAGATCTGGCTCTCTGGTTGGGAGTTCAGTGGAACATTAGGAGAAGAAATGCAGCCCAACAGCTGGGCATGGCCGTTGGGTTCTAGGGGGCAAAATGGAACAAACTTGGGTTATTTTGGGATGGTGGGAGGGGTTCCGAGGGCATAATTTAAGTTAACTCTGTCTAAAATAAAATGTAAGTGCAATAAATGTGCTTTTTTTTATTCAAAGCTGTGAACCTTTAGGAAAAAAAAGACACAAAAAAAATCAAAAAAAAAAAAAAAGCACATCATTCCTTCATGAGCCTTGTGTCCTACCTGCCTTCCCTTCCTCCCCCTCTCCACACTTCTCAACTGACAGAAACCCAGCAGTGCCCAACCTGCACGTGTTGGCAACCCCCATTAACGTTGCTTTTCTTTTGACCTCATTTGTTGGGATTGGGGAAAGCCCTGCCCCCCTACTCCCTGCCCCCCTGGATGTCCCGTTGGGATCTGGCTCTGACCTGTGCTGCTGGAGCAAGGTCTGCTGCTGCTGGGGAGGCAGGAGCCAGTGCTATGACAGCAGTGCAGTGCTCCTCCTGCCCCTTCATCCTCCCCTTGTGTCAGGGGTAGTTGTGGTCTCCCAGGGCTGCACATGTGTTTTCCTTCAGCACTCGTAAACATAGGTGGTCATTGGGTGCCCAATGGATTCCTTTTCCCCTCTACCCAGACACACGTGCAGGCTGGCCACTGCTGGCTTCTGTGACTCTGCCTTGTTTTGAAGGAGCAGGTATAGGTGTTTGTAATCCATTGTGCATTACTTGCACTGTCTCTCTCTCTCTTACTTGAGCGCAGGCTGCTTTTCCTAGATTAGGGAAGGTGCACTGGCCTCCTGGGGGTTTCATGAGAGGCACAATGTGTTTCATTAGAGTGATGGAAGGTGTAGCACTCCATAGTTGGACCCCATGGGGGAGTAAGAGAGGACTGGCTTGTTTAAAGTTTATAGATACACAGATCTATAACCTTTAAACTTTATTATTTTTATATATAGTCAAGACAATGGCATTACCTCATAATACAGAGGCTTGTTTATGAGAGGCAAAGTATCTAGTAAGGAGAGGAAAGGGAAATTTATATACAGAGTTGATTTCTTTTTGTCTGTTTGTTTGTTCCTTAGTGCAATGAAATGTCCCACTGATTTGAACTCTGTGCTAACACATTCCTTTCAGCTGTATTTTTTGGTTTTTGACCACCAGAGGTTTGCAAGGGGCTTGTAACTGCAAAGTAGAAGGTCCAGTATGGTTACTTAAAGACAACCAACCAACCCAATTGTGTTAGTAGATTTCCATAGCTGCTTTTTAAAACCTACAATGGAGTAATTGTTTTGAAACTTGTATTTATTTTTTACTTCATTACAAAATGTTTATTTTTGGTTTCCTATTATGTAGGTCATGGCAACCCCCCCTTTTCTCCTTCTCGAGTTTCCCCTGTAATTGCCAATACAACTTCTTTTTTCTTGTTTGTTCCTTCCCCCTTTACTTTTGTTGTCCCTTCATTTGTACTTTGGAGTTTTTCTCATGTAAATTTGTACAATGGGAAATATTGTCCAGTTTGGTTAGAGAGCATGGAGACTTAAAACATATTAAAATTTGATAGCTGAATTCAGATTGAAGAAAACTATTTCTGTGTAAAGTTATTTAAAGAACTCTGTATTATATAAAAGGCAAAAAGTTCTATGTACTTGATGTGAATATGAGAATACTGCTATAATAAAGATTGACTGCATGGAAAAGTCTGAAGGAGCTTGTTTATCGTACAGTTCCAACTCCTCCTTCCCCAGAGGTACGACTGCGGTGGTTAAGGGGAGTGAAAACATTGCTTCGATGCTGCTTTAGAATGTAACTGTGGGAGGAAAAAGACAAAAAAGAGGGGAGAAATAAACTAACTAACCCCACCACCACCTTCCACAGGGCTAAGCACAGTAAGCCAGCATAAGGGATTTTTACCTTTGCTGTGGGTTTTGCTTCACCAGGGATTATTCTGGGCTCTGGTAACATCCAAGGGCCCCACTCCCCTTCACCCTGGAGAAAGCTTGGCCTGGGTTCTCTTCAGAATAACTTCCCCTGCTTCTAAGGCAACTGTTAGGAGATGACAAGATGCCAGTAGAATGTGTTTTAAGTTAGCTTCTCTGCATGCTAACATGGACAAGTTTATTTCCAACCCCCCCTTTCAGAAGTTACTTGACAGAGCTTTAATGGTAAGATTATTACCTACAGTGCATTTATGAAGTTTTAAATCACTCCCTGGACATGACTCTATCACCTTATTTGAGGCACCAAGAACTGAGCATTTGAGGCACCAAGTAGTGAGCAAACACTAGAGAAGTTCATGTAGACTTCAAAGCTGGAGTTCTTTCTCCAGCAATTCTACAGCACTCAAAAACAAAGTACAAAGTTAACCTAGTGTTTGTTTAGTTACTTTTATTGAAATAAGGACCTGAGGAGCCAAAGCTTTGGTTCCAGGGGCCTCTTTAGTTCCAGGGACCTGCAAGTAATAGAGAAGAGAATCCTGAGAACCTTTTCCCAGCACTGAGAGCAGGTGAAGGACCCCCCCTGATAGAACCCACACTGCTTTCTGCATTAGTTGAAGCTGCTGGGTTTAGAGCCATGCTATAACACAGCAGCTTCAGAGAGAGAGAGCAATTGAAGGGACAAGTGCACAGGTCTCTCTCTAGAAACAGAAGATAGGTCATGCTGGGTTTACAGGACATCATGAAGAAAATAATCTTTAATGGGCAGCAGTTAACCTACAACTCAGTTGCTACACTGCGGGCTTACACTGCCACAACTAGACTATCGGCACTGGAGCATTCAGGTACCCAAGACAAGTGTGTGTGAAGGCAGTAAACACTGCCAACAGCTACCTGCAATCTGTACAACAGAGACTTGGCACATTTACCTTCGGAAGTGCACAAGTAAGTGCTGCGAGTACTTGTAGCAGTGCCAAGAGAAGGCGCCCAGCAAGCACCGCCTGGCGCGATGCCCTGGCACCGAGAACTGTGAAGGAAAGGTGATGCACAATCCGGGCTGCGGCTGGCCTGGTGACCGCGCTCATCGCTCCTTACAGCGAATGCCAGCCCAGCCACAGCGCCCGGGGGCCTGTGCGAGAGGAGCCGTACCAGTGTGCTGCGGGGAGCGAGAGCACCCCGACTGGAGGCGCCTAATCCACGTCGTCCGGAGGGATCCCCAGCTCCTCGTTCGTCCAGGCCGAAGAATCGGGATAGGGGAAGTGGCCCTAGGAGAGAGGCGGGCTCAGAGCCCGGCCACAGCCACGGGCCGCCGCCACCCGGCCCCCGCCGCCGCGCCGGCCTCACCAGCACCATCTCCGAGCTGTGCCAGAAGTGCCACAGGATCCAGAACCACATGAAGCCGCTCAGGAGCTCGCTGCGGATCACTTGCGCCCGCGTCAGCTCCGGGAACTGCCGGTACCGCGGCTGGATGTGCACCCCGCCGCCAGCGCTGCAACAACCGCACCGCTGCCGTCTCATTCCCGGCCCCTCCGGCACCCGGCCCGCCCCCTGCCCCGGCCCGCCCCACTCACTGCCGCCGCCCGACCGCGCCGCTCCCGGCCCGCAGCAGCCGCCCCGCCGAGCGGCCCAGCGACGCCAGCGCCATGGTAGCTCCACCGCCCCCCAATGTCACCCTGCACTGGCCAACAACAGCCGCCGCGATTGGCCCTCCGCGCCTACGGGCGCATACCAACTCCGGGCGCGGAGGGATGAACGAGCATGGGTAGGAGGGAGACGAAGCCCCCCGCACCAGGCTGCGGCTTAGCACGGAGACACGGGGGCACCGAGATACCTTCGCGGAGATTCCTCCGCCACGCTGTGCCGCTCCCACCCCACCTCTGTGCCTGCGAGGGCTGCCCTGCCTCTCCGCCTCCCCCAGCGCTTGGAAGCGGCAGGACGGCACCAACACACCGGCGGGGGGAGACAGGGAGTCCATCGGGAGTCAAAAAAGTTGTTGTCGCTCACGGAGAGCGCAGAGGAGGCAGCGCGGCGAGTGCGCGTTTCGGAGCGGGAGAAGACGATGCCGGGTTTTTGTCTTTAAGGAAAGGGCTAAAGATATAACCTGCTCCTCTTCTCCCCCCTAGGAGGACTGGGTGGCCCAGCTCACAGCGTCCAGTTGCGTAGCAACGGGGCTTTAGCGCGGCATCGATGGAAGCCGTGCGCTGACGGAGCGCCTGGTGCGGAGCATTGCCTGCTGGCCGGCGCCCTCGCCAAGGGGGTGGCGTTCCCCGGAGAGGACAGGAGGGGAGAGGCGAGGCGGGGGTCACCGGTGGCGGGAGGGCGGCAGCCGCAGGGGGCAAGACGAGGATAGCGGGGAAGCAGGGGTGAGCTGTGGGGTGCCTGAGCACAGCAGCACCCAGTGAAGAACTGCACACCTGTCCCACGTTAGCAAAGACCTGCACGTGTGAAGGGCGCTCCTGTTCGTCCTCTTTGCTTTATATCCTCCTCCCTTTATTTTTCCCTTGTTTTCCCAGACTCAGTCTCCACTTCTTTCATTCTTCCTTGATTTCAGATCCTCTCGTTGACCTCGCAGCTCTTACTTGCTTGGGGAGCTTGGACAGCTAAGGAGCAGGGTACAAGAAGCAGCAATCCACACATGACACTGGCTGCCCATAACCTGTTTGAGATCCAGGGGTGGATGGAGTGGGAGGAAGCCAGCAAGTTTGATATACCTGCATCACTGCTGAGCACAGAGAGGCAGCACCAGCAACCTGCTGCCTGTCTCCAAGCTATGCCTGGTCCTGAGAAACTGGTGTATTTTCTAGGTTCAAAGCTCTTTATTAAAATCACTTAACTGAAAGGAGTAAGAATTAGTAAGACAATAAAACTATTCTGATTCAGGAATCACATGTCTAGTGCCTCCTTCATGGCAGAGTAAAATGATGACAGGATCTAAGATGGGCCAAAAGGATATCTACTATAGCTTTGTGTATACCTGAAATGACACTTCATCCTTTGAGCAATATACCTCATCGTGGTTGAAGAAAGGGTGATACAGCTGCTACATACCTAACAGCCGAATAGAAAGCTGGTGAACCACAAGGGTTCTTCCATAATATAGTTCTTGTCTCCTTTCCAAGCTTGCCTGCTTAAGACCCTAACAATCTGTGATGAGCCTACAGATAAATAGTGTAGTATCCCGAGGTTTGATGGAAGAATTAAAGAGGGAAGTAATACACTGGGAAGGAAATTTCAGTTTTATAAATAATATTCCTGTTTAAGGATTTAAGTGTTAAAATATGCTCATCTTCTGCTTCCATCTCCTCCCACCCTCCAGGTAAGCTCCATGTCCGTCTCACATGTCCGGTGCTGTCACACAGCTCATAAAGATCCCTGTGGCCCTCTGCTGCCAACATGTCCAGCAACACAGTGAGTTCAGAATCTGTAGATGGGACACTGGAAAGGCAGAGAAGAAAAAGCCAGGAAACAAGGGCAGTTACTGTAGGGTGGGAAGGGTCCTCCATGGGCACTTCACTTGTTTTCATTATAGCAAGTTGCAGGAATTCTGTTGCCAAAGTCTACATTAGTTGTATTTCTGTTTTCCACAGCTTTCCCGTCTGTGCATGGAACCCAGATTCCCTTTGTAGGTCCTCGATATCCTCAGCAAAAAGGAATTTCATTGATTCATCCCCAGAGGCTTCCAGTTTTCTGAGGGGGGCTCGTGTGTTGGCCAGGAGAGAAGCTGACGGCTATTATTACCTAGGGCACATTGCCCAGGAGGTGAAGGTAGCTATTTATTGGGAACTCTGCTGCTCTGTGTGTCTTCCCTGTTTTTCCCATGCCTCACCAGTCCCATGCCCTTGCTGTGGAGTGGCTCCCCTTTCATACAGTGCACTTAATAACCAGTAGAGTCTCCCCACATCCTACTTTCATGTTTCCTGGTGGTGACTGGCTCTTTACTGTGAGGAGTCCTGCAAGCAAAAGCAGCCTAGAAATCAGTCCATTTAGTAGTTATAATGACCTGGTTTCCAGAGACAATCAAACAAACCAGGTCCCCTATCTCTGTTACTTGCTTCCACCCAGGCTAGCAGCAAAGTCAGTGAGCTAAACAGCATATCAATAACCCAAAATGTCCTCCTCCAGGGACCATGCCCTCTCCTCCTTACTGAGCAAGAATCTTTCCTCATTCTCTTCCAGCTATGTTCCTGGGATTGGTGAGATGAGTTTGGGTTCCAGGCAGAACATCCCCCTTGCAGGCTTTCTTTAAAAATCCAGTTTGTTCTGGAGTTCGCAGGGTAGTTAAATAAAGAGTGATGCTACTATAGGTCAGGATGGCTGCAAGCTCCAGCATGGGGTGGAAGAGATAGGGACAACTAAAGGCACAAGTGACATTAGCTGGAGTCTAATGCATTAGAACTGCTGATGGGATTATATGTGTAAGTGCACTCACAGAACTGCAGAGGAGGCTGAAACTTCACTAACAGACCTTCCCCTCACCCATTGCTGAAGGCTTAAAGTAAAGCACTTAGATTTATGATAGTTATGATATTTTACTGGTTTGTTATCCTTTTGATTACTGCAGAACAAACTGCACCCTACACAGCAGTTTCTTTTGGCTATTCTTTCTGATGGGAGGTTTTCCTGGTAAAGTCCTGCCTTAGCATGCTAATTGTGTTCTTACTAAAATCCAAGTCCAAAATGAAAGGAAGAGAAAGGCTGCCAGCCTCTTGAGCCCCAGCCTCGTAATTGCTTTTAAAGTCCAACATGGACACGGTACAGTGAAAAACCTGGTAGGAAAGGAAATTTATATTCCCAGATTACATTCCTCTTCCTGGGATTTCTGCCACTTCCCTCTTAGCACTTATGTTTGGCCGTTAATTGGCCCCAGATGTGTGTCTCACAAACAGCATGTTTTACTCTTGTAGGGCTCCAGGGAGCGCTTTTTAATTGAGTTTGACAGGAGTGGCACTCTGAAAGGCAAGGCACAGCTTCGAACACAGGAAACCCCTCTCTACGACATTCTCCACTATGAAGATGACAGGCGACAGCCTCTTGCTCCAGGAGACAGGGTCTTGGCACCGTGGGAGGCTAGAGCTGAACGTTTTGGCCCAGGCACTGTGCTAAAGGTTCTGGAGAACAAGGAAGCACGTTTAGGTATGGGGGAATTGGCTTTCTTAACAGTGCTACACCCGCCACAGTTGCTGGTTACTATACAGAAAAGAGAAGTCTTAATCATTGAGATTTCACCACCTGCTGCTTGGGTTCTCTTCAGCATCTCTGTTATTTTTGTTGCTGTTGTTGGCAGTAAGCAGCCTGTTCTTCTTTGGTGCCAGAATTAATGCAGCTCCCAGAATTAATCTTTGCTTTGTTCTGTGAGTGGAAACTTCCTAAAAACCTGGGAGAGAGGCACATCACATCCTCCTAACACAAGGAGGAAAATGTTCCTGGCCCCCATGAATATTCACCTGGTGATCTGTCAGTTTCCAGCTTTTGCAGAGCAAAATCCTGGCTCGCTGTGATGAGCAGGAGTTTTGCTATCTGCTCTCTCTTCATAGGAAGTTCAAAACAAGGACAAAGAAAAAAACATCACGGAAGTTGTCACAAGCTTGTGTGAAACACAAGCTGCTGCTTTTATCCCCTGCCTTCTAAGAGATAAAGCACACAGGTTGACATACGTTCTATGCCTTTATTTTCTTTCTCAATATGCACAGCACACAACAGAAGGGGAGTGCTTGTGAATTTCTGGAATGGGCAGACTAAGGAGGTGTCTTCTGACCAAGCTGCGCGGATTCCTCTGCCCTTAAGTGAACGCATCATTCTGGAACTGCAGATGCCTTTAGCAGCCAGGCAGATGGTGGTAGAGTCAAGCTTGGATTATCCATACATCGTGGCACCGGGTTATAGAGCCTCAGGCCATTACAGGCAGGATCCCTCAGACCTGTGCTACTGGCCAAGGGGTTTGTATTCAACTCAGCCATGTGTTAAGTGTAGTTGCAGGTGTACCTTGCTTCCCCATTGCAGCCTTGAAGCCTGGGAATCTATGCAGCCTACAGGGTGCAAAGGGCAGCAAGAGGATGCCTTCATCCCAGGAACAAGCTTCACTAAAGAAGAGCTCAGCAATAAAATAGAAGAGCAAATGTCTGAATTGAGTATTTCATGCTCAGAAAGTGTTTTCAGAGAAGAGGAAATGGAAGATAAGGGATTGAAGACAGAAAATCTTCCAAATGAAGTTCAGCCTTGTTTGGAAGAGGACAATGAGGTTATAGAACCCGAGAAGGTAAAAAACATTTCATCCTGACTCTTCTGTTAACACGTGGTTTGCTATTTGTATAATGTCTGCTTTGTTACCTCAAGTTTTCTGCTCTTGGTACCAAAAAATTGCTAGAGGTTTTAGGCCTGGTCCTTATGTATGTGTTCTGCACCGTCTTCCTGATCCTTCAGCTGCAGAAAGAGCTAGCTGTTATTATCACTGCCTGGAACAGACTCCTAAAACATCTTCCATGGATGCAGAATATGAAGGGGTGTCACATAGTGTAGTTTCTTTACATCCTGCCTCTTCATGAGAGAAGCAAAGGCAAGAAAAAGTCTGACAGAAGACTTTACACTGGATAAGGATTACTGTAAGGACTGCTCCATACCAAGGCAGTCCCTGCATAATTCTGTTCAGATATTTCTCCACTCTGTTAGAGGCATCACCTCTCCCAGTGAAAGAGCACAAGAGACTTCTGTGATCCTTGGTAGCTGATTTGATGCTTGTGGACAGGGCACTTGGTAAAGATCAGTGTGGAGGAGGCACCAGATAGTGCTAAGCTTTTGCCCACGGTTATGTAAGGGTTAGAATCCTCATTTCTGGCACCATAAATGTGACTGGCTTCATCCTCTGGCCTGATCTCTTTTCTACCAGGTTGGACCTTTCCAGGGGAAGTACTGCCATTTTTCGGTCACTTGAACATGCAGAGAGGGACACAAAGGGATCACAACTTACTCTACTATGGAGTTGTTTCTTTAGTAAAGAACTTGCCCAGAATTTCTTTTTACTTCCTTAAACTCTAGTTGCAATGTAAGATCTCTAAGTTCATGAAACTAACTTGTTCTTTTGCACATTAGGTCTGGATTATGATTGTATTTCTTGTTATTTCTAGAGTCCTCAGATGGAGGTGGCTCATGCTATGGTTGATACTGCCGTCAACACGGACAGCTGGTTAATGGAGACAGCCCACAAGGAAGAAGCAGACAGCAGACTGCAGGATGCTGGAACTGAGGCTCCTTTTAAACACAAACACGGTATTGAAACTGTAGCTCTTTTATCCAAACATAAGACTTGCCACACAGTGTCAGTCCTGCAGGCCATCGTGTCTAAGATCTGTTGCCACGTTCTTGGGTTTCAAAAGAGAATGCCATAATGCCATGCTGTGAATACAGCCACCATAACGTAGTATCATTCTATGGAGGTATTAATGGTGGTACGGCTTGAGAACTTGTTCATCTTCCCTAGGTGAAAGGTTTATCAGGTGGAAGTTGGGGTTTTTGGCTTCTACACTTATTGAAGTAGCAGCTTTTGAGTTTTCTTAACCTTTATCATAATGCTCACTATAAATACAATTTATTACAAAATTTCCTTACTTTAAAAATCAATCTGTAAGGTTAACTATGACTGCCTATAGCAGAAAGACCTCACCAGGACTGTTCTGCAGAACACTCCTCCTCTGTCCTGAAAATGACAACTTTGTAATGCCTTCAGTAAACTTTTGTTCTCTTTCATGCAAAAGGGGCTGGATCCTGATTTTAAACATATTGTTACTGTTCTTATTTAAGCCAGTTTTGTGACAACTGAAGGCATCTAAGTGAGGATTCTGAAAGCCTAAAGCTTTCTCTGTTGCCACATTGTTTTGTGTCACTGCTGGTAGAGGAAGAAAGAAAAGTCAAGCAGGAGTGCACATTTTCTCCCAGCTGATGTCCCACTATCATTCCATGCAACAGCTGTCACGCTGGTACATAATGTCTTTAGCAGAAAGGTGCAACCAAATGTTGTTCTTGTTCTCAGTTATCCAAAAGCTGTGTTAGCACAGTGCTGTGCCCAAGCTAATTTCTCCTGTCTCTCAGCAGGATGGATAGGTCAGGCTTTGCCCTGGCAAGGAATGTGTAGTTTTTTCATGTCTCAGAGCCCTGGCAGGAGCAGCTCATGTGTGTCTGTGAAATACCATGGAAACAATCCTGAAGCCTGAGGAGCTGGAAATGCAGTCAGTGATCTTGTGTTACCAGGCAAAACTCATGCTTGATTACAACGACAAGCTTGGTTTTTGAAAGCTAGGACCTGTTTTGTGGACACTAAAAAAAATATCCCACCTCCTCAGAGGAAAATGTTGGTGCTAAGTTACTCCTTAACTCCATCCCAGCCAAAATTGGGACATAAGTTATCCAAGTCTTGATGGAATATATTTTATATGAGAATACTTTCTTTTTATAAGCTGCCTATAACCTCATATGTCCCTGCCCTAATTTATTTGAAAGGTCCTTTTGAGTCCAGAGTGGCAGAAGCTCCAATCCAGCATTCCCAAGGAAACCCTTCCATGGGAACCAGTGCTTTGGTTCCTTTCAGGTGCCAAAGCTTCTTTGACCGAGTGAATCACTCGCTACAGAAAGACAGCCTGACCATCAGATCAGCTCTGCGTACACAGAGGCCACACAGCACCTCCAGTGTGCGGCTTAGGAGATCCACAACTCTCAGTCTTCTAAAAGACAAAAGCATTACAGTAAGTATTTGGTCCAAACTAGATTCAGCTATTAGGGCCAAGTGATTTGTTTATGTCATGGGAGAATATTGTAGAATCACATAGCCCAGGGAGTGCGTGCATTTGAGAGAGGAAAATGTTTTGTGGAAACTCTGTTCCAGACCCAAACAGCTCTAGCTTTGTAATGGAAGCATGTCTGTTTTCATGATGTTCCCTTGCTCCTTCCCTCATAGAGGGCACTGTAGGAGTACAAAAGAAATAAATGGCTGTGAAAAGAAGCCTTGTAGGTGCTCCTTCATCTCTTTACACAGCACAGTGCATTTTAAAATGCAAGTTAGGAACGCTGCCCAGCGTTAAAATGCAGCTACTACTGGAATAAACACAGACTCCTTGACCCTGGGTAGAAATCTCAGGCAGGAAGTGAAGAGTTAGTACACCCGCTGAGAACTCCTGGAAGATTTTGTGCTTGGCCAGAGGGAGGCAGATGTTTCTAACAAATCTAATTAGGAATCTGATTTGTGGTCAGAACCTGTAGTTTCCATCCAATCCAGGAGCTGACACAAAGATTGGGCAGTTTGAGCATTGGCTCAACACTGGAACAACCAGAACAGCACAACCTACTGACCTTAAAAGAACTCTTAAAACTGCATTTTCAGACACCCCTTTGCTGGTTAAGCTTATTCTTTTGTACAGGCTTTAGCATCATACTCAGCGTTTTCATGGGTGGGAAGTGACACAACAGTATTCATGAGCCAATATTCATGGAACAGTTTTTGTGGAAGCCAGTGTGGCTTCCAGAGCTCAGGAGTGACATTAGAAGACTAAGCTGCTCTGATTCTGTAGGTTTACAGTTTGCATTAGGTAACTATACTAATGAAATTAAGGGGTTTGGTTTGATTTTTTTCCTCTTAGAAATCAGTCCTTAATGGTGTGTCTCAGGAGAGACGGAAGGAGATGGACTTCAACAGAGCCAAGATTGAGCACAAAAGATGGCAAGAGGAACAGAGGCAGCTGAAGAGGGAACAGCAGCAAAACGCAGATGGCATCCGACGCCAGCTGCGCAGGGACAGTCAGAGGTGATACCTATGAGCTAAATGGTTTTATAGTAAATATGAAAGGTTGGTGATGTCTACTCCCTGGTGCTGTCATTCAGTCTCTGAACATCACACACTGTGCCTCGTACATCTCTGCAGAGGGGTCATGGTACTTTACTAACAGGAATAAAATTGCTGCTGGAGATATAGCTGAATGGGTACACATGGCCTTCGCACTTACTTTCAAGGGCAGATTCTCTTCAACCTCATACTCACTCAAAGTCCTTTTGCCTCCCAAATCCCCGTTCTCTGCCCCGGTCCACTTAAGCTCAGCAGATCTTCACCCCCATGTCCCACCTCCTTCCATCTCTTCTGTTTGCCACTGTAGCTCTATCACCAAGGCACATAGCCACCCAGTTGCCTGGATTAGTCCTACAGCCCTGTCTGCACAATCCATTTTCATGGCTCCTGGTCTTCAGGGCCAGGAACACCCAGCCACACCAGGTTAGGAAAGTCAGGTGAGCAGGTGACAGCACCAGCCCATTTGGGGGTTTTGCCATCCCTGCTCAGGACACCGGTTTAACCCTCATAACTTGACGAAGAGTCCTGCAATGTTAACAGAGCACAGATTGCCAGAATATCTGCCTTGTGCCTCATGCACTGTCTTGTTCTTTTATTGCTCTTTCTTGTTGAGAAATTTGATTTTGTTCTGGAAACAGACAGCGGTTGCATCAGAGAATATTGCAAGAGCTGGAGAAACGGCTGGAGCAAGAAGACAGAGCTTTGAAGCACATGGCACTGCTCCAGGCTGCTAGGGCAGAAAGGAGCAGGAAGGAATCCTTCTTGCCAGAGGAGGAGAAGAGGAAGGCAAGTCAGAGGTTACAGTTCTTAAAGACACAGCATGTGCAGAGAGAGGAGCTGCAGGCAAAACGCAATGAAAGGAGCTTTGAACAAGAGAAGAAAAGGCTGGTAAGGGCAAGTGCAAAATGTTTTTCCTGTACTACCATGTTTCCAGCAGTGGCACCATCCAGAGTATTTCTCTTTCACCTGTTTCATATGCAATATATCCAGTATAATTTAGAGGTAAAGAAATGAAGGGTAACAGGTTTTTCTGACACACGTATGAAGATGAAAGATGGGAAGTAAATTTCTGCCACAGAAAGAGTCCTTCTACATGCAAGGAATGAATTTCCATAAATTATACCCATTTCTGGCTTCTGCTGGTGATAAATGTGGATGAAATTCAGCATGAAAGCTGGCTGTGCAATTGTAAATGTCTTTATTTTTATGTAGGATTTTCTCAGGAGCAGAACGCAGTCACGGCAGGAAATGTTGGAACAAGAATCACGGGAGCAGGACAGGCAACAAAAAAAGCAGCAGGCTGCCAAAGGGAGAGTGTTCCAGAGCAGAGACCGTTCACGCCAGAAGGTGGAGAAAGAAGGCCAGCAACTCAATGACCTCCAGCAGTACCTCAGAGAACAGAATCTTTTGATGCTCCGGGCATCACTACTAGCATAAGGAAGCTGGCAGAGTGGGTAAGCAGGCCCTTGAGGCATTCACAGACCTGATCTGTATCTTGTAGCTAGCTGTGTGTCAGTGTACTGGAGCCTGGGTTCGCAAATGCAGTTGTGACAAGTAGAATTGTGGTTTCTGGGGAGGTCTTTCGTCTCCTTTTTGTTGCACTTTGGTAGAATCATAGACTAGTTTGGGTTAGAAGGGACCTTCACACCTTTCTGTCTGGAGTTACTGTTCTAGCTCACCTCTGTCAAGCTGTTCTTTTGTCTCAAGTGGCCCTGCTGACAGACCCAACTCTGCAACCAAAAGCTACCTTGGTATTTAATGAGACACATCCATACTGCCGAGTTTCTGCCCCAAAGGCATCTTGAGGTGCCCAGCCCTTTCCACAGGGCTTCAAGGAGCTGGTGCCTGTAATGTGAAGTTGTAGTCAGAGCTGGTGAAAAGTGTCATGAGGCAATTCAGAGTGGAGCAGCAGGGAACCTGGGAATTATAAAAGTGATTCAAAGGGCACAGGACCTAGAGCCCTCTGGCAGCATCAGATTGTAACTGCTTTCAAGATGCAAATGACAGAGAAAGGAGGAATTAATTAAGTGAAGGCATGGTCAATAGATACAGTAGGAGGTGAAGAGCAAGAAAGAAGATCAGGAGAAACACCGTGGTGGTGGAAGCACAGGCACATGAACACATGAAGTGGTGGAAGCACAGGCACAGGTTAAGTCCTGCTAACACAAGCCTGTGGGGAAATTAAATAAAGGCCTGAAGAGTTCCCCATTCCGCTACTGCATTCTGTGAACTTTCTGCCCTGCTCTGTTTCCTCCAGACCAATGCCAGAAGAGCACATTTATTTCTTTAAGGCCAAGGACCACGTAAAATAGGAAGTGTGGTTAAGTGATGCTGTCATATGACTTGCCTTGCTATGTTAAAGTTGTATGAAAAATGGGGAAGGAGAGCTGGACACCAGCTGGATGCAAAACCAAAACCAACCCTGTAGCAATGGAAATGGACCTGCTAAAATACAGTGTAAATTATCCACTGCAGTTTCCATTATTAACAACTGACTCTTACAAGTGCCCCATTGCACGTGAATTGTAGGCACTTATAGAGAAGTCCCCATACCTATGATAAACTTCACAGAATCACAGAATGGTTTGGGTTGGGAGGGACCTTAAAGCTCATCCTGTTCCAACCCCCTGCCATGGGCAGGGATACCTTCCACTAGACCAGGCGGCTTAAGGCCCCATCCAACCTGGCTTTAGGGTTGTGCTACTTCCTGCCAAAACTGCTGTAGGGGACAGGGCAAGGATTCAGGGACAGGTGAGGTGCTACAGAAAACCTGGTAAGACAACTTGGAACTCTCCAGCTTGGGTTCCAGGTAAGTGTAGATCTTCTACTGTCAGGGTTACGTACTGCTTGGAATACGAAGCCACTCCACTAGAGGAAGAATGACTTACAGAAGCCCAAAATGCAAAAAGGAAAGTGTTTTTTCAGTGACAAGCCACCCTTTCCAGGCATTATGATGTGAAAAATGTCTGTTCTCTGCCATATCTGTCTCGAGAATCACTAAGCCCTGCGCTGGGCTTGGCGGTCTGTTTTGCCTACAATCTTGTGTTCAGGCTGGCAGTCTCCACCAGCAGGTAATCTTATACCAGGATACTCAGGTATCTTTGCAGATAGGGCACCTGGTCAGAATAAACAGACTTTTTGTTCACCATGAATAAATGAGAATGTTACAGACAATGAATTGGTAAACTGACAGTTAACAAATCATGCAAGAATCCATGGTAGCCAGTAGGGCTATAGGAGGAGTCCCCCATTCTAGCTAGAGGGTAAAACACAATTACCACTTGGAGTGCACAATGCTACTTGCTCATGACTCCCCTCCCTGATTTTCTAAGCACCCTTACTGACTTCCTTAGTGAAGCATGTGCTGTCAGCAGGAGAGGAGAGTTTTTAACATGCTGTACTCTCGCAAGTGGAGGTGCCTTCTTTCACAGAGGGGAGGAGGAGGTTACCCTTGTCACATCCTTAAGCGCTGTCCTTCCTCATATCATCAGAGGTACAAAATACAGCGGCTGCATCACAGAATGCTGTTGTCAGCCTTGGGTAGCCAGAAAGGTAACCGATTTATTCACATGGATATTTAGGAAAGGAGAATGGACATGGCACAATTTGTTTGCTGGAACACTCAGAGCTCTATTGAAGAATGTTAATTTATACAAAATTATGCTGAAATATAGCTAATATTTCCAATATCTTGTTTTAAGTAATACCTGGAACAGAACTAGATACAAAATGTAGATGTTGTTGCCTGACATTCTCCGTACACTTAGAAACACGTTCCGCATTTTCTGGCACATCACTCAGCAAAAACCGTGTTATGAAAATTCACCCCTTTTCCAGGACCACAGCATCAGCCATAACAGCAATTTCTGAAAGAAAAAATTAAACTTGCAGAAGGGAGCCCCTCTGTAATTCTGCCAAACCTTTTGTATGGCCAGCAGCTTCTCAGGCTGCATTCCTTAAGAGATAGCTGAGCGGCTATGCCTTCAACTTTCCCCAAAAAGGCAGTTAACGTTAAGTCTTGGCCAGATGTTTACAAACTATTCTAAGACCTTAATAGCTGAAAAGGATATTTTTAAACTTTAGGATCTATAATATGCATGATCTATCCTGAGATTTTTATCAAAAAAGAAAGGGGGGGAAAAGGAAAAATGAACCAAAATATAAGGTGAAGGCTTAGGCATTTAGTTAAGGTCTGAGAAAAACATCATTTGCCGCATACATGGAAACTATATGTGAGGCAGAGTTTTGCATTTCACATTGAATTCTGTCATTTGATTTGAGCTCTGTTCAGTCTCTGGAAATGCTGGCTGAAATTTCCTCAGGAAGCAGATGGGTGGCTGTGCCCCCCACCTGCACAGCTCATGGACTCAGCCCCTCAAGCTAAGTGAGTGTGGCAGAGGGAAAGCGGGTCCTGGCAGCATATGGAGGTTTTCTCTAATGTAAAGTTTGGGGGTCTCTCACTTTTCTTCTTTCAGGGGAGATTTAGATTAGATATTGGGAAAAAGTTCTTCACTATGAGGGTGGTGAGGCACTGGCACAGGGCGCCTGAAGAAGCTGTGGCTGCCCCATCCCTGGCAGTGTTCAAGGCCAGGTTGGATGGGGCTTGGAGCAACCTGGTCTAGTGGAAGGTGTCCCTGCCTGTGGCAGGAGGTTGGAACTGGATGAGGTTTAAGGTTCCTTCCAACCCAAACCATTCTGTGATTCTTCGTTTCTCCTTTACACAAAATCATGTGGTAGTTAACAGTGTACCTTGTTATGAGTTTAAGTCTATTAGATTTAAAGAAACAAACCTAAAACTGACTTAGTCTCAAACTCTATTGTTGCTTTTATCCTTAAGCGTTAGAAGTAGAACATGTAATGATTAAAGGAAAATACATTAAACATATTAAGCAGAATTTAAACTTACTTTTCAGACTTCATGTATTAATCATTATTTTATAACCACCATAAAAGAACAGATTTCTGCTTAAGGTCCTTTTCTTGATTGCCTAACCATCTGAATACAAACCACTGCAGAAAACCTGTGCTGCTACAATTTCACATGCAATATATCTGGGAGTGTATTTAGTATTATGGTATCTCAAATCATTTGTAGCTTGTATTTCTCACTATTAAAATGCAGCCATAAAATAATCTTAACGCAATTAAAATGACTGTAAAAGCCACATTTTTGCTGGCTGTAATTAATTTAAACATTCACAATGCATTTTCCACCCATGCTTGGACTCGTTTTGCAAACTACTGGAAACAAAAGGCAAGAATTTGCATAGTAGTTAAAGCTTTGAGTTGATTGGGGTGAGACTAGGGGAGCATTGGAAGAGTGATAGGAAGGAAGCACACAGAGAAATAAGAAAGGCTTTTCTTCAAGCTTAAAGAAAAACCCAAATACAAAAGACTAAGAGCAGTACAAATATTCCCAAAAGTTGTTTTTATTATGGAATTAGGTCTCCTGCCTGGGCAAGTAGTTTCTTTTGCTGTTTGTTTGTATTGTGCTAGAGTGGTGGGGAGGGGGTGTCCATTTGCCTGGTCTATCTTTATCATCCCAAATGCTTAAGAACACACCACTCCCTGCAGGATCTCAGGACACTTCTACAATAAAAGTAGAAGCAGAAAGTGCAGAAGACAAAAATGTTATTGGCTTTTTTTCAATCTGAATGAGTTGCTTAGGTGGTGTTGGCACACCATGTCTCATACCACGGTGACAGGTGAGTCAGTATAACAACTTTACATATTTAACCTGATACATTTCAAAGCAGACTGCTCTGAACATCTTTTTACAGACTTCTAGACAAGTCAGACTGCTTTTCTTGTCAGACTGCAGCGATCATGTGCACCTAAACCACATGATATGCCAATTTAAAAATGATCAGAGCCCATTAGCTCTTAGGACTATGCGGTGAGTCAGAAGTCTCTAACTGTGCAAAGTCTTCCTGGTTTCTGGAATTCTGATCATCTCAGCCTAGTGCTTGGCTGAAACAACTGAAAGCAACATTAATGGAGAGTAACCTCTGCATGGTATGTCCCCAAGATAAACATGACTTCTCATCATCAGCTTCTTTCTCAGCTCACTGACGGCACAGGCATAACCCTGCACAGAGGGGGGCAGCGGCCACAGGAGTCTATCTGAGGACAGAAGCTGCAGTTTTGATGAGCAGTGGTTTAGCTGCTTCTAGAATGTCCAGTTCAGGATCCAGGGAACGACCAAGTCCTTCCAGAACCATGATGGCAAAGATGATGGAAGCAAAATTGCTTTCAAGCTTCACCTAGAATGACAAGAGACTAAATGGAGTTGGCAGACCTCACTTTCTCCTGAGCCAGTTCTACAGAATGGGCTAAGAGCTCCACAGAATTCTCTGGCTAAGCTGAGAGGGAAGAGGCTGGGAAGAGCTTATGCACACGTGAAGCTATACTGCAACTCCATCACTTGGGAGTTTCAGAACTCACTGAAATCCAGCAGCAGGCCCAAAAATAAGGTGACAGTTTCAGGTTAAATGCCCTAAGGGAACCTAGAAGTTTGTTTTTCAGCTCCAGAAGGGGACTGGGATTTTTTTTTTTTCTTCCATACTGATATAGCAGGACCTTAGGAGTCCTCACCATTGCTAGTGTAGTTATAAGCTGCAGTATCCAATGTACTTGAACACAGGCACATGCATAAAGGGGATCTTACCTCCTGAATGGCTACAAATGAGCCCCCCAGATCACAGAGGAAAGCTCTGCTCTGCATGTGACCAAACTATTCCCCAGTTCTCAGCCAGGTACTGGGACTGTTTCAAGGCATACCGGGGCATTAAGAATTCATCGAGTTGAGAGGATTTGCTTTGTAAGGGCCTAAATTACATTTTATTTTATTAGAAACCAGCTTAATGAGGCTTAATGACAGAAACCTCTAACTAAGGAATGTTTAGAGGGACCCTTTACAGGCTGGGCAGCTATGTAGCTGACAGCTATCTCATCTCCTGTAGTTCAGGCCACCATAGCTTTATCGATTTCCAAAGTTGTCTGAAACTCTGGAAACATGTTCTCCAAATACTATCATCTGTAAGATGGAACCTCTGTTCTGTTAACAACTTCTCACTTTGAAGGTTTCTAACAAACCTGTAAAATGGCCTACTGCAGTTCCATAACCCCACATCAAGGAAGAGGTCTAGGGGAGAAAGTGTGTAGTGGTACAACGAAGGGAACATACATTAGATTTCATTTTCTCCTTGTAAGTGATTATAAAAAAATAGGAAAAATGTATCACAGAAATATTCCTTTTAGTTAAATGTGGTATTAAGGCAGACCCAAGAAACTGGTCGTGGCAGGGTGTGTATCAAGACCTGAGAAACAAATATGCCTGCAATACTGAATAATGAATTCCTGCAGCTTGTTTCAGAATCCACAGTCATGTCCCCCCTTGTTAGCCCTTCATGTTCATTTGAGTATTTCTCCCTCCCAAAATGAACTGCCAGCTACTGAAGGCAGACAACAGGACCTCACCTTATGGGTCATCAACAGTTTGAAGACATTTGAGAGCAGATTTGCCACCTGAAGCTGAAATACAAAAGGAGAAGTTAACAACTGAAAAAAAAACCTGTAGTCAAGAAGACTGGGTAACAACAGGCTGGATTCTTCTAAGTGTTAGCATTTAGTTCTGGTGGTGGGACAAAATTATTGGGCTGCCAACAGCCACCATCAAGATATGATTTCCCCCCCACCCTGGCCAGGATAAGGAGTTCAGCTATGACCTGTGGTTCTGCTTACTTGTTAGCCCAGGAAGGCTGAGAACATCTGACCTCACAGCAGTACACAACATGCATTAATTTGTTCAATGCCACCACACTACATACTCTGAAGCACCCAGGCTGGCCTTAGCTAACAGGATGCAAGCTGTAACATTTGGCTTAGCAGCTCCTCGCAGGGAACCGCAAATGTTGTTGGTAAGTGCTGACGCGATAAGAGCTGGCCTTTCCACATGACTCATTCTGAAAGCCAAGTTGCAATGCACTACTGATAAGCAAGGGTGGGACATAGTGCACTCACCTTTCCCAGGGCAATGGTGTTCCCCCGGACCTTGGTCACTAGTTCCGCCATCTCAGCTTTGAATCGCTCGATATCCTGGCACTGGTTAGCACGGGCATGATGAAGGATCAGTTCTGCCACTCTCTCCCCCTGTGAAACAAGTTGAACAGGATCACTGGTGCCCACAGGGAGCTGGAAGGCCCCTGCTGAAAAGGTCCCTGGAGGAAGCACACTGCAGGGAGAACTCCCAAGCCCAGTCTTTCCCATTCCAGCAACAGAGACCCTATGAATCAATAGAAACAGGTGCAAGAGCAGCAGAACTGGTCCAAAAGTCTTAGCTCATATCTATCAAAATCCTGTTCATTTTTCTTTCGGGATAGAACACCACAAAGGTATTTCTCAGGCAGTCAGAAGTTTTAGGGGAGGGAAATAAAACCCACATGATGAATGTTTTCTTCTTAGCAGAGGGGATAATAGTGTAAAGAAGGGCATATATTAACTTCCCTTATGGGCTAGGTCCAACCCTTAACCTGCAAACTACAGAGGAGTGAACTTATTCTACACCAAGAGATGTTTGGTGAGAAAGGGAGCCATACCCAGGCTTCACCTGTGAGAGGCTTTGTAGCTCTTGGAAGACATGTCTGACAGTGATGTACAGAGCCACAGCCCAAGATTCAGCAATGATATGGTGTAGCAGTTTTTCTACCTGTAGATCATGAATTAGATCACTGCCTGAGCCATGAAGGACTTGCAATCAATCAAATGTTTGCAGTCTTACTCAGTGCCTGAGAAGTAAGTCTGGCAGCACATGAGGGCCCCAATACACAGTTTAGCACTTACTCCTCAGTATACTTCAGCAGGTTAAACTGAGCAAGTTAATGTGTCCCTCTTTGAGATACGCTGCTGAGCCATCCAACCCACAGCTGAGAACCAACAATGTGCAAGTAGGAACACAGATGCTTGCTCTCAGAATGAACAGGAGACATTGGCACTGGATTCTCTAGTCAATCTGAGACTGTATTTTAAGTAAGTGGGAAGGAGAATAAAGTAGTTCCCCTTATACAAAGGGACCTGGCAGAGTCCAGACCCTGCACCCCCACTGTTTTGCTTCCTCTTCTCTACCATGCTGACACAACAACAAAATGTGTATGGAAGACCAAGATGTTGACCTGTTCCCTCCTCTTCTCTAACTTGGCAGATTCCTGCAACAATCTCAAACACAAGTGGCTTCCAGGCAATCCTAACTTGCATCAGAAGCACTCGACCTTGGAAGTAGGAACCAGTGCTTCCTGTTTCCTGGGCCACTAAAATCACTCCACTCTGGCAGCCTCCTTGCTGAGGCTGAACATCTTACCCTGTGTGCAGTATAGCTTCCAAGCTACCATTTCTCCTGTCCCCTCTTAAGGATTGTGGAAACAAGAGAGGAAAACATCACTTTGGCCATCAGACTCTACTGCTGTCTCCCTTCCCCAGCCTCAGCTACCCAGCCCCGTGACAGAGGCCTCACCTGGCCTTGGACCACAGCTGTGAAAACTGCCCTGAAGTTCCGCATGTCAGCACTCTGCAGCTCAGCCACGATCCCTGCATCCAGCAGCACCAGGCAGAGCTGCCTGAGGGGTGGCTGCACTTCCACCACAAGCGTGTCACACAGGTCCACGATGGCTGCCTGCTCTTTGCCGCTGGTGCTGACGTGAGCCGTGCCTTGAACCAGGATGTTCCCAGGGTGCAAGTCAGCATGGACAAAGTTGTCAACAAAGACCTAGAGGATGGGAAAGTCTTAGAGCCGCTCATTCCAACCAAACCTACCCGCATCAAAACCTGCAGGCCAACAGTAAAGGTTTGTTTCTGGTCTGTTCACCATCATTACTAATGTACATCATCCTAGACTACTACTCAGCACTGAAGACCAGCTGTGCTGAAATGGCATGAGTGCCACACTGATGGAGTCAGCAGAGCTGTGTGAAGCCATCCTGTGTGTTTGTTAGAGATCAGGTAGGACACGCAGAATTCCCAGCAGGGAACAGTAGTGCTCTTTGGTAACTAACCCTGAACTTGGGGCACACTGGTGGCCCTTGGCAAAAAGCAATGGAATAAGAACAGGCCATTTACCATTCAGTATCATGGGTTATAGTGAAGGGTTAAGTTTGTCTAGTCCACGACAACAACCCACATTACAACTGTATCGAAAAGTAAGGAAAACAAGGTAAGAGAAACCAAACATATGTAGCACTTCTCTGCTCTCCTAGCAGTTAGCACCTGAAAGGACTAGCAAGAGGGCAAGTACAAGACTACTTCTCCACTAACCCCCACGGCCACCTGGGACTGCAGGACTTCCTGCCTCAAGTAGGTTATCTTTGTATTTCGTGGATTTCTCCTGTGAGTTTGCCCAGTTGCCACATACATAATTAGAACTAGGGCAGGTTTTAGGCATCGTCTGAAAAAGTTACCTCTAATATTAAATTTTTGTCCTCCTTATTGTTCTGTTTTGAGAAGGCATAATCAATAGATCCATATTCACTCTTGTACACTCATGAGTGCATACACCTCTGTCAGAAGCTACTCATTTCTCTGCTTTCCAGAGTTAAGAGTCCAAATAATTTCACTAGCTCGGTATGGAAGCCATTCCACACCAACCTTCCTCTACTCTTCTTCTAGCCCTACCACAGCCCTTAAAATGGAGGGTCCTGGACAGACTAGAACTGAGTATTCAAGAAACAGGTATTTGTTTTACTTACAACCATAATGTTGTTTCTTTGCTCTTTAATTCTTTTCTACTCCTAAAATAGGGGAAGGTGTTGTTTTGTTCCTAACTGTTGAATATAATGTTAGCATAAAACTATTCTAGTTCCACCACAGCTTTTATTACTCATAAAAGCAATTTCAGAGTCTACTGCACTACATGGAGTCAGAACTGCAGGCCTCGCCACTGCCCTAGCATGTTGCTGCAGTTAGCAACTGAATTTCATCTGACACTTAATGGCCACACACTCAGCAGTGTGAGGTTCTTTTGGAATTCTTCCCTGCTAGATCTCATGGCCCTTCACAAGACACTTGTGTCACCTTCTCAACACTCCCTTCCAGGTCATTTGGAATTATTTCAACCACAGAACAACTAGACAGCCAGAAGCTGAATCAGAAGTTGAATCTGGCCAGGTTTGTCTTCTTAACTCTGTATTTAGTTCTTCCTTAAAAAAGGCAGTTTTGGAGGAGGAGTCAATAAATAAAGAAGCTACCTAGCAATTTTCCCTGTGAGCTGCATCCATAGGTCTCTGCAGAGAGCATACTTGCCAATTACATTGTACTTGGGCAATATATGAACATCCATTTAATAATGAATTTGTGGGTTTCCTCAGCAATACACTGATCAAGTTGCATAGGATGACCCTACTGTGTGCAAGCAGATTACCCTTTTTCAGTGGAAGAAGCTTGTGTAGACTACAGTATTGGTGTACCTTGCCCAGGCTCTACTCAGCCCTTGCATTGATATTCCACATGAAGTATAGACCCTCCCTCTGCCAGTTCAGGAGCTGCAAGTGTCCCAAGTCCTGAGTTACTGCGAGATACCTGCCATCCACAGGCTGGCTCTAAAAGGCACAGCTCTGGTCTGAGCCCATGGGGAGATGGGTAAGAGATGTGAGAACAGGTTCTCTTTTTAGTCCTATTGTCTCATTACCCCAACTGAATAGCTTCTGCAGGAAAACAACCTTCACTCCTAGACTCAGCCAAGTACCTACCATCTTTAGCAGCATGTCCATGCCCATCTTTGCAAGCCTCTGTCTCAGCTCTGTGGCAATCTCTGCGTGGAGGTAGTGTGAAATAGGCTCACTCTCCTGAAATAAAGACAAGAGCTGGAGTCAAACACACCCTGCATCCCACCTTCAAGCACACCTTTACCTAGGTGCCCACACTTAGGGGAGGGCCTAGAAAGGACCTGCTCAACAGAGGCTGTACTGAATGCGATACAGAACACAGGTTTGCTCTTTGGAAAGAAGGTCTGATACCGCCTGGGGCAGAAATACTCTTGCAAGGATCACACACAGGAAAAATAAGGGTGAGAGTAGCTTTGGTTTGAGTCAAACATGCACGAGGAAAGTGAGGTAAGCATCAAAAAGCTTCAGATTGCTGAGCTCCTTGCTTTGACCCATCACAGAGGAGAGCTGAAGCATGGTGTTGGTTTGCAAAGCACAGGCAAGCACGTGGTGGCTGGACACACTGCTGGTCTGCTTGGTTTCAGGCCAAGTGTCCACTTCTATATGGAGTTCTCTGCCACCTGTCTTCCAGGATACACTGCTCACAAACAGCGTGGAAAGGACACTGAGGAAGGACACCAATTTCTTTAAGCAAGCAAGAGAAAAGCATCCTTCTGCCTCTGATCACTACTTCTCAAGAAATATCTTCCTGGCATGTCACCCCTTAAGGGCCTTATCCCTGCTACCACCACTCCCAGACCCTGGGACTCTTACCTCAAATGTTTCCACTAGAACATCTGCTGTGACCAAAGGCCAAAGGGGAGTTGGAAACTTCACAAAATCGACATCTAGGAAATTTTGTCGGAAGCGCTCCAGATTTCTGGCTTCATAGCGTAAGTCAATCTCAAGGGAGAAAAAGAAAAAGCAGGCTGCAAATTATATTCAATTAGAATTAGCTCTTCAGGACTCTGTATGATGCAGTATTCATCTGTATGATGCAATATTCACAACTGTATGATGAAATATTCAATACCAACAAAAGTAGTCAGAAAGCCAGAATGATAACAAAATAGTGGTGCTTCTTACAGCTTTCCTGATGGAAGAGTCGGAGTAAAAGACTGGGTAATGGACAGACACAACCCAGCACCTTTAAAATATGGATGACTTATATAGGCCTGATGTCTCAGAAAAGAGGACTGCATTATTTTCAACAGTAAGACAGAACCTGAATCAAAGCTCACTGTCCAGCTAGCAAGTCAAACAGACAAGGCAGAAGAACTGCAGCCCTAATTTCGCCTTACAGATAGGCAGCCACAGCAGGAAAAATTTAATGTAACATGTACAAAATAATCCACTGTGCAAAGTCCTGCCCTAGTTCTTCAGTGATCTTGACACAAGGCATCTCTCCTGCCCACTACTGCTGCTCAAGGAGGTAGGATAATCTTGCCTCACCTCCCTCATCTGGCAAAGGGAAATATCCGAGGAACACTTCTTGGACTTCTAAAGTGAAAGGAAAAGGAGTTACAAGTGTATCAGATGCTCTCCTAATCCTCAGCCTTCAGTACATCCACCAAAAGCTTTGCTAGATTAAACTGGTACTAGTGACTTGAACCACATCTGAACACAGTCCACAGTTTATACAGCATGGATTTACTGTGTAGGTCCTTTTGCAACAGGGGAAAAGAATTAAGGCTTTCAAAAGCTTGTACAGATTGCAGATTGCAATCTAGACATAAAAATGGCATTAGCAGATAATTGTTCATTTTAACAGAAACATCACCCTAATTGAGCCTGTAGTGAAATCTTTGTAAGTTTGGTAGTAAGGATGTGTCAAGACTGTCTTTAGAAGACATTAGTGAATCCCTTTCAAGTCTATTCGCAAAGCTTAACTTTATCAATATTGAGTCTGATGACAACACAATATAGAATGTGTTGTTAACCTATGAGAAAGCATATTAGTTATGCCAATACATATCTCAGTGCTAACAAACATGACCAGTGAGCACAAACTGCAAACATCTGTGTGGGATTAGAGACAAAAAACACATCTGAGAAATTATTTTCCTAAGGAGAGGCCTTTACCAGCATTCATGTTTCAGAAAGCTGCAAAAAGGCCTGTGACCATGGCTAGCTGCCTGTTCAGGCTGTTCACTAGAAAACATACTCAAAAGTCTAAAAAAAGATTTTAAAATCTGATAAAGACTTATTGTTTTCACTGCTTTGTTTTACTCTGTGAGCACGTAAGCTTCCCTACAGTAACATTATGTGACTGATTAGAATAAAGAACATAACTAAAGAACAAGCAAGTCTTCACCTAATCCTTGAAAACAGGGTAGTATGAACAGAGTCAGAGCCAGCAACAAGATCAAAGGCAGTTTTGTTTCAGTACGTGGGGACCATGGCATTGCACCCACCTGCTGAATCATAAGCTTCTCAAACTCCTCCACAATCTCTGTCAAACTGAGCCACTTGAATCCAGGGAGAAGTCCAATGATGTGGCTACCTAGCTTCATGAGAAAAAGATCCATCTGGACTTGGTGGACCAGCCCAGGGTGCAGGACCTGCATAAGAACCAACAGTGGCAAGATCAACTTCCTAGACACTCCACGTCAATCAACTCAAGCGACACACTCCAGATAGCTAGAACCCAGCCTGTTGGACTGGGTGTTTCCCCAGCTAGTCCTCAGAACTCAGATCTTGCCATGGCTTAAGTTGTAAAAAAACATTTTGTAACTGTCAAATGGAATATATCTGTGTTATAGTCTCACCCTATGCCATTTTCCACTGCTTTCACACTCCCACTTGTTCCCTGCTATGCAGTACTGACTAGTATTTGGAGCAGCTCAAACGTAAGGTTTCTTTAAATAAACTTTGCTGGAAAGAACTTCTCTGTTCCAGATTTCTTCATGTAAGCAGAGGAGGGGGTTTCCTTGTCTGGAATGTGAAACCAAACTTAATATTCATCCTTTTAATGTAAACTGCGCCCTTGTAAGCATTTATGGCATCCACATGCCACATCAAATGGTGCCATAGGCAGTTATGTGTCCTCAAGCTCTCCAGGCTTGAAAGAGCTGGAGCTACTGCAAGTCTGGATTGCAACTGGCTGGAATGAAAACACTGAGAAAAGACACTGAGGGAGATGAGCATCACTTCTCACTTCACCTGGCCTCAGCCAGCTGCTCATCTCCATGGAAATTAAAACCTGATAAGCGTCATCCAGCACCCTCCATTTTCACACACTACCAGTCATGTGTATGACTTACTTTAATGGCTACAGGTGTGAGATGTCTGGCTGATGAAGGATGTACATTCACGAGTGGTTTGGCCATTTGCCCCATAAAGGACATCCCATTCTCAGGACTTCTCCAGGAGCAGTCTGCTGCACTGAGCTCCTCCCTGCTCCTGTCATCCCGTATCTGCTCACTCTTCCTCCTCCTCAGCCACCTGAGGAGGCCTCTAAAGCCTGACGCTTCCCATGCTTCAAAAGCAGTCCTGAACTCCAAGTGTTGCACTAGCTCCTTGGCCTGGGAGCCACCGATAGCCGTGAGGTCGGCATAGGCTTTATACACCTGGGCAACACAGCCCGAGCCGACCGGCTCCTGGCTCTGGAACTTGAGGATGCTCATCCAGTCCTCACCAAAGGCCTTCCTTAGGAGCTCATCCGTGTGGCCCCACGGGTGTGGGCTCACCTCGATGTGCAGCTTAGAAAACTCATCGCAGAAGGCCTCTGAAAAGAGGTCCCTCCGCGTGCTGGCCCACTGGCCCAGCTTCACACAAGTAGGGCCGGCGGCCTCGGCCGCCCTCCGCAGCAGCCGCAGCCACAGGGCGGCCAGGCCGGGCCACAGGCGGCTCAGCGGGTAGAGCAGCAGCAGGGGGCCGAAGCGGAGCAGCAACGCGCAGGCCCGCAGACCCATCCGGAGTACCAGACCCAAACGTCGCAGCAGCACCCGGGGGGGCGGCTCAGGGCAGCGCTCCCCGACCCACACCGGTCCCCGCTGCCCCGGCCTCTCCTTCCAGCCGGTCCCCGCGGGCACCGCCAAGGCCACCGCAACCCAGCGCCGGGTCCGCAGCCCGCCGCGCCCTACGGCCGCCCAGCCGGGCAGCCCTCCCCTGGCCCCAGCGGCCCGTCCGAGGAGGGGGCGCGGGAGCGGCAACAGCCGCACAGCACTACCCGCCACCATCACCTTTCACCGCCGGTAACGGCCACGGGACGGGGGGGAAACGGGGACACACGACTGGGCGGACGGACCGAGCAGTCAGCCAATCAGCGCTGGCAGGCGGTGGCGGCCCGCCCCTTAAAGGGACAGGAGGGAAGAGCACTGAGGGAAGAGCATTCTTCCCGCTTCGGATATGGCCATGGAGTCCTGTGAGGGGAAGAGCTTGACTGAGCCATAGCCTTCTGAGTGGGAGCGTCCCCTCAGTCATTACTAGGGGAAGAGGGGTTGCCCCTTCCCTTTTGTCACCCGGTGACATACTTGAGGCAGAGCCTTCATCTCTCCACCCGTTTTGACAGTTGGGGTGGGCTCTTGCCGTGTGGTGGATCAAGCTATGCAGGCGGCTGACACCTATTAATGAAAGTCAGTGCTGCGGTAATGGCAGTACCTGAGGGGCCACGACGGCACATCACTACTAATAAAAGAAATTAAAGCAAAAGCCTGCTGGTTGCTCAGTTGAGGTAATGAGGATGCAGCTGGTGGTCATCTGTCTCTTCCTTTTGGAAGCTTTAGTGTGTAACCACAACCCAACAGAAAGTGTGTTTTAGGGGGCAGCCACCGCAAAGGTGATGCTGCCACTCATGGTTATTCGGGAAAGTTGCTGTCTTGTGCAGCAAGGCTTTGAGCTGGGAGCCGTGTCCTTTCCCACTGGGAGTTCGGCTGGTTTCCAGCTTTGGGTGTATGTCCCTAACTGCCTGCTTCTACAGAGGGGAAATAAAAATATATCCCCTTTCTTATATTTTAATGTACCATGGGAACCAACAGCCTGTAGGAAGAATTAATCCACTTTCCAATCCAGATCATTCCCTCGCTTTAACATCAGGTAGCTCGAATCTGACCAAGCCAATCTGTGCCAACAGGCAGCTGGATTACGACCCTGCGCAGGCAAACTGGATCAACGGATGGAAATCATTTAACAGGCTTGAGGCTTCCCGTGAGCTGGCAGATTCTGTGACTAATACAGCAGGGGAAAGCTTTGGAGTAACGAGTGTTGCTTTGGTGCCGTGTAGCGACTGCCATAGAATCACAGAATGGTCAGGGTTGGAGGGGACCTCAGGATCCCTCGGATGTTTCTATCTGCAACCAGAAAGGCACCTTCTCCACCTCATCACTTTTGCCCGCCGCCCCGGTACGCGGGACTGCCCCGAGAAGAGGGGCCGGGCGCCGTTGCCATGGCGGCGGGTGGGGCGGTGCTCCTGCCGGAGGGCGGCCCGGGCCGGGGCCGGGGCCGGGGCCGGTGGCGGCGGGGGGCGGCGGCGGCGGCGTAGCGGCGCTGCATGGCGCAGCGGGCGGGGAGCCCCCAGCCGCGCGTCCGCAGGCCGCCAGCCCGGCGCCGGGCGCCGCCGCCATGCAGGAGTACGGCCCCTCACGCCCGCCGCCGCTGAGAAAGGTAGGGGGGCGCAGAGGGACCCGTGGTGGGGTTGGGGCAGCGGCGGGCGTTACCGGCAGAGAGTGGGCAGAAGGTACCGGGAGGCAGCCCGCCGCCGCCGGCTAGACCGCTCTTCCGTGGTGGCGGCCGGGGCGCGGGGGATCGGTGCCGCTCCAACAGATCTTTTAATTCCTTTTCCCCTTCAGCCACCAAACTGTCTTTTTTCCCCCCTTCTCCGGTTGTGTGTTCGGTTGCAATAGAGGGAAACCGGGGGCCGTGAGCCAGTCCCCCACCGTCCCGGCCGCTGAGGGTACCGCCGCTCGGCCCCGCCGCTTTCCCGCCGGCTCTGCTGCTGCTCCTGCTGTCCCCGCCGGGCGCGGGTGCGCTGGGTCGGCTGCTGGAGCGGCTCTCGGCCGCAGGCGGGTGGGAGAAGGGCGGAGGGAACGCGGGGAGCTGCTGAAACGCGACCCAAGTGGTTCGGAGCGATGGGGGAGCAGAGGCAGCCCAGCCACGCAGCACGGGGCCCCTGGGTGAAGTCAGCCCTGCCTTGCTCTCCGGCAGGAGAAAAAGCTGAGGAAACGCTAAGCAGATTCTTTGGGGGAAACAGCAGCCTTCTCCTCAGTTTCAGCAAAGCCCTGAACCTCTCCATCCATGATTGTACCTCTGTATTTCTCTCTGCTCTGGATAGCCTGTTTTTCTCTTACTTTGCCTTTGGCAGGAGCATTTCTGACTCCTACTTTGGATCTATGAGAATATTCACCTGGGGATGTCCTGGGGAGAGAAACTCCTTGCTTGCCTTCCCGCTGTGATACCCAGGATAGTGGGTGCTAATCGGTTAGGCACGGAGCTGGTGGAGAGGAACGGTGGTTGGGAAGGGAATTTACAGCTGTCTGCTGCCGTGATCCCCGGGTGTCAAATACAAACTGGAGGGTAAAGCATGCAGGTGTACTTGGGACGCTTTCAGAGGTTTTGGTTTTATGAGTCTCCAAGGAGCCTGGCTCTTAATGCTCAGTGCTGGAAAATGAATGGTCAGGAGGGGACTGAGGCTTTCAGACTGCTTGGGGCTGCACTAGAGCCGTGCAGGAGCAGGCAGTAAGTGCTAAGCAGGGACACTTAATCCTCCCCTTCTTCCAAGGAACACAGTTTGTTTCCTGGACAGATCAGCAAGTTGTATGGGAGCTGTTCCTGACCCTGAGGTGTTCCTGGCCACTTCTGCTCTTGCAGTTTATGCAGGGTTGTTGTCTTTGGAGAGGACTGTCTGTGGCCTGGAGCTCAGCTGGGAGGATAAAGAGAGGGGCAGAGGGATTTCCATGGTGCTTTCATTTGCTACTGGGAGGTGAACTGCTGGTGTTGCTGGTGGCTTAAAAAGCTGTTTTCTGTGTTGGCTGCCACCTTGCTAACCACTCATTCTTGGTGTGTGGTTGCGAAGTCCAATGAAGTGTACTGGCTCTGTTTCTGAACCACCAGAAAGGGTGGTTACTGTATCCTGCCAGAGGAGAGGAATGTGCTTCCTTGACCCTTGTGTTGTATTCTGAATCGTCATTGGGATAGTGTTTGTGGGATTTGGTGGTTGGTGTTTTGGGCTTGTTTGGTTGTGGGTTGTTTTTTTTCAAGTAATCCAGTGTTTCAGTATGTGAGAATGGGTATCTACCACACTGGGACAGGCTTGGAAACATCTGAAAATGCTAAGTATGGAAATGAGAGGAAAGCCACAGGATTTCCCAGGGTAATAGAGCGCCTCTTTGAGAAACGGAAGAGAAAGCATTGAAAACAAAGGGCTCTGGAGCAACCCAGGATGTAGAAAACAGGCTGAAGATTTATGGCTCAACTGGGACCACTCTCTGCCTGCGGGTGAGAAGGTTGTGTGCTGAAGCCTGTGTTGGCCTTTGGCACGTCCCTGTTCTGACAGTCCATGCAGAATTTACTTCTTCTTCATCAGCTCAGATCCCCAGGCACAATATTCCTTGTAGACCACAAGTGTGTGTGGAGTGTCCCAGGGTGCTTCTTTCAGTGGTGTCCTCAGCTTGCTGCCCTGGGAAATCTTTTTAGGACATTTTGTCTGCAGAGACAACCACGTGATACTTTCTGTTCTCCAAAAACAAGAAGGGCATTTAGATCCCTTGTCAAGTGCTTACAATATGCTTGTCTTTCTCCCATGCCTGGCATATTTACATGCCAGAAATGTTCATTTTAACAGGGACATCATAAATAAAGACCATGTAATCTGAAAGTCTGTGGTTTTCAGAGGGGATCAAAAGGAGCTTTTCCACCAAGTTGTTCTGAATATCGGCCATAATAACTAATTCATATGGACAGGAATTAAAACCTCTGTTTTGCTGGATGCTCTGGGGGCAGAGAGGCAAATGCAGTCCTTGCCCCAGGTTTAAGAAGTTTGCCAAGGAGATCTTCACATGACAAAGCCAGACTTTTGAACATGGAGAGATGCTGGGCATTTCAGAAATGTCCCGGTAAGTGTTACATACTTCTGGATCCCCCGAATGCATCGTGCAAGGTAGCTGGTTCTCTCTTATTTTTGCAGCACCTGACATTTATTTCCTGACTGGAACTGTGCTAAAGCTGCTCCTTCTTAAGTGGAGGCCAGACCAAGGGGAGAAATGGCTCTGTAGAGCACCATTAAGCCCATGAGAGTGGAGGAGCAGCTTCTCTGCAGCTCTTGTTGAGGCTGGTTAATTGTGGTGATCAGCTGTGTCAGGCATCCAGAACTGGGGTATAAGCCCTTTAGGGAAGCATTTTTTAGCGGAAGGATTTAAGTACTAGTGGCCGATATGTCTGTTGGAAGGATCCCAAGAGCTGGCTGGAAGAGGCCTCTGCTATGAAGGAAATGCTGAAATGGGACTTTTAATGAACTTGCATAGCAGTTCCTTAAGGATTGAGAAGACTCTCCACAGGGAAGAAGGGAGTGGGTTGTAGCTAGAAAGAAATTCCTTTGTTGTTTTAAAGTTCTGACAATAAATGAGTGAGCTTGGGTTTGCCTAGATAAGCTCAAATAACATCACATCTGAGGGGTACTGATCTGTAAGCATGTTTTACCCAGACAAGGCTGAAGAAGAGACATTTTCTTGACTGTAGCTCTGAAGTGTAAGGGAAAGGACAATAGCACATTTATCTTGCTTATGGGTTTATTATGGTATCCCTTCTCTGCTTTTCAACTCTTAAGTGGATTTACCAACTACTGGAAATGAAAGCAAAGGCAGAAATGCATGAAATGCATATACTGTTTAGTGGTGGTTTCAGCCCAGATTTTTATAGAATCATAGAATAGTTAGGTTTGGAAAGGACCTTAAGATGATCAAGTTCCAGCCCCCCTGCCATGGGCAGGGACACCTCGCTCTAAACCATATCACCCAAGGCCTCGTCCAACCTGGCCTTGAACACTGCCAGGGATGGAGCATTCACAGCCTCCCTGGGCAACCTATTCCAGTGCCTCACCACCCTAACAGGAAAGAATTTCCTCCTTATATCCAATCTAAACTTCCCCTGTTTAAGTTTTAACCCATTACCCCTTGTCCTATCACTACAGTCCCTAATGAAGAGTCCATCCCCAGCATCCCTGCAGGCCTCCTTCAGATACTGAAAGGCTGCTATGAGGTCTCCACGCAGCCTTCTCTTCTCCAGGCTGAACAGCCCCAACTTTCTCCGCCTATCTTCATATGGGAGGTACTCCAGTCCCCTGATCATCCTCGTTGCCCTCCTCTGGACTTGTTCCAACAGATCCATGTCCTTCTGATGTTGAGGACACCAGAACTGCACACAATACTCCCAAGTGAGGTCTCACGAGAGCAGAGTAAAGGGGCAGGATCACCTCCTTCGACCTTAGTGAAGACTACTTACATTCTCAGTGTCCATGGTCAGCCTTGTGTATACCATATGACTGAATGAACTCCAGGCTACTGTGCTTTTGAAATGAGTGCTTCCACAGAAGCCTTAGGTGTTCTTGAATTTAGGTGCCTAAAGCAAAGAAGCTAAAGTCCCTGGAGCCACTGCCCCTCTGCAACCTGGGTTTTCAGCTGAGGGCTGTGTCCTTGGGTGAAAGCCTGGCTCAGAGCAGGCAGAGGAGCAGTTCAAGGTCTCTGTTATATAGCACTAAAAAGTGGCATCACTATGTTACATGAGTAAATACGTGAGGTCCTGTAGGCCAATCCTATTCAAGTTCTGTTGCAGCCTTTAAGGGGTTCACGCTCAAGGTACTCTGTGTCTGTAGACACAGGACTGATGAGGTGTTAAGTTCCCAGTCTGGTTCCTGATCGGAGCAATGGATACTTGCCTGCTGTCTGTGTGGGTCTTCACCAGTTCATGTCTTTTAGTGAGCCAGGAGCTCAGTGGGAACTCAGGGGATAGAGCCCGCCATCATGATGGGCCTTTCCTTTCTCTGCCGAGATGGCTCTGTGTAGCTGTGAACCGTATCTTGGGGTTCCAGCCCATCATGTGCAGTTGCAAACAGAGGTTGTGCTTTTGGGATAATCCTGGTGTGATGGTCAGGGTAATCTGTGCCAAAACCCTGTGGGTGTATGCTGCTCTGAGATAAATATGTTGCCTAAACATTTGCTGGTCAAATGTGAGGTGCTGTGTGTGTGACAGACCCTAAAAGTGGGCTCATGATGAATCTTGCTTGCAAGAATTTTGAAACACAAGGACTCTTTTTTTTTAGTGCAAATAACATGTATTGAGACCCTTATTTCTGTCTTTCCTGCAATTAGTACTGTCCCATGGTAAAACTGGGGGGAAGTCAAGCATAGTTGGAAAGATGGAAGCTCAAAAGTGCGATGTCCTGCTGGAATAAACACTGTGAGTGCTGGTATAATCTTCATCCCTTGTTTCAATGCTTTGTCCCTCTCCAGGTTAGAGAAACCACCTGCAGCTGGCATACTATTAGTTCCAGGATTTAGCAGGTCAGAGTCAATAGTTAGAGTGGTGATTATAGGTTAGGTTTTACTAATTAAATTTGTTAGGATTTAATACATCTCTGAGGCCTTCTTGTACATTTTGGGTGAGGTTATCAT